AATTCCTCATGTTGAAATAAAAAACTTCCATATTGTTTCTTTTTTTATTCTTATAGTTCTTAATCAGACGTAAAAATGCATTCTGTAGAGAACTATCATCGAATGAGAAAAAAATATTCAAATTTTTTATTGTAAAAATCATTGCACTTACCTGATTTATAATTCCGGAGAATTCCAAAGGGATATGTTCTTTGTTTGAAAACTTTATTCTCAAATAATAGATACATAGTTTATCCCTTCATTACTTTTAGATAACATACTACACAGCAAAATTTTATGATTTTATAATTGATATGAATTTGAATATGTAGCTAAAAACAGAATAACTGAATTCTAGTTGAACTTATTCCTTCAAAACTAAAAAATACTTACCAAGAAAACGATAAAAATTAATTAAGAATCTGCACAAATGGCACTATTTCAAGTAATTTGGATAATTTTTTATTGTTGTTTTCCGAATTATATGGATACAGAAATATATACTATTCTATAACGAAGAAGAATATGCTATAACTATTTCAATTCTGTATGCTCTGAATTCATATTTATTCACTGGAATGACGAAAGCAATGTTGACTTCACTTTAATTTGTAATGAATTGAAGACAGAAGAAATGCATTTTACCTTGATACACACATCTGTAACAGTATGCGATAGCGAAATCGGAAATTATGAGTTGCACGTTTGTTGATAATATAAGTTAAAATTTATTGGGTCTGAAAGATATCCCAATATTCTGGAGAGTTTTTTCAAGTTCTTCGGCTTTTTCTTAGGGAAATTTTTATTTTTATTTGCTGCTAAGAAAATGGCGTCTGATTCTGCCAATGATTTTGATGGAACTAAATGAAAACGTGATAAATTAATGTCTGATATTTACAGACTTCCGCTAGAGGGCGTACTCGAGCGTTGCGATCGCGAATTATAAAAAGAAGAAAAAATTGATTCTTGTTGTTGTTGTTGCTTATCCTCATAAATCTGACATTAGTAGGATCAACTCCAAAAAGCTGTTGACAGCCAAAAAGTCGATGACAAGAAGAGGATCGAAAATTAAGTCCGCCCTGGGGCCCTATTACCAACTCATCGAAATTTATTCCGTTCGGAAACGATTCCGCTCGGAAACTAGCTTTCATCGGATTGCCAATTTCGTAATATCCACTTTGCCGTAACATGAAGATATCGGAATCCAGAATCGAAATCGCCATTCCACACGATTCCGGTGAAATTGAAATTTGTAGGCGGGGCTAACTTTGACCAATTAGAAAATTATTATAATTCTAATTTATTAATCTGGCAGCGATATGTTTGTATTCTCTACTTCAATGCGAGTTAAAATCGCATTAAATTAGAACTGAAAGCTTTAAAATTCATATATTTTCAACAATTTTGTGTTCTAAAAGCCAAGTTTGTGTTTATTTGAAATACAGAGAGTAGTGTAGAGTGAAATTACAACGCAGTATTTTCAAATGGCTTCACGTACAAAAATTAATATTCGCCTGCAAACAATGATTGTGGAATACCTAGAAAACAATCCAGATTAAAATAAAGGAAGCTTTACCGGCATATCTGGCGTAATTACCACTATAAATATTAAATACCAAATTACTATTATACAAGACATGTTAACTTGCATCCACCTTAAAGTACCTTAAGATAGTTAACGCGGTTAACACAGTCGATAGTTAAATCCCCACACATGCATATTTCAATCAATATAGGAAATTCTAATAGCTAACTTTGGTAATTCCTTTTTTTAGCTAAGATTCTATTGCTTTTTGTACATATTTTTTTTATATAGCTTTTGTCATTAATTTCCACAATCCGGTATTATTCATTTCCACTACTGAATTTCGCCTATGAGTAACACCATTTTAAAAAAACTAATTTCCAATCCAAATTAACTTCTAAATTTTGTTGTCGGGATATTTGAATACTCAAAATCTTTTAGGCCGATAGATCTTTCTCTTAATAGTGTTTCGATCACTCTCTTCAGCAATAGCTAGCTGTATGACGGAAAACAGCGCCATTTTGTTCACTAAAATAAACAAACTTTTATCGGAATCTAGATTTCGCTTACTCTTAAACCTGCCGGAATGGGATTCGTAATAATTTCGCATCGGAATATAGTTCCGAGCGGAATCAAGAGCCCGTAATACGACTTAACTGACATTCACGGATTTATGACGTCGCTAGAGCTTTATTTCGATCGGAATTAGATTCCGTGAAGCTGGTAATAGGGCCCCTGGACAGTCCGATATGTTTCGGTGAGGCTGGTTGGATACAGCAGTTTTTACAAGTCGGGTAAATCTTTTCGAATGTTAGACATTTTAGGTGACCAGTTAAGAATCTGGCCAAGGCAGTCTGGGATCTCAATTGATTCCTTCGATCGCAATTGATTCCCAGAAGGGTGCCAGAAGATGTTGCGGTGTACCATTGATGCGTAGGTGGAGTTTGCCAGATTGATTTTCGTCTATATTTTTGATTGGAGTAAAGTTCCAGATAAGTAAGTGATGACCCGGTGGGCCTATCTTCCTCACTGCCCTCTTTGGCCAATCTATCTGCTATCTCGCTGCTGCCAATAATAACATGTGATGGAATCCATCGGAGATGTATATCATGGTGCTGAGAAATCTTTTTCATCTTGAGCAGGATAGATATACTAGTTTCATCGCTTGCAGAGGACCAGCTACTAAGATGTTGCAGGGCACTGCGACTGCCCGATAAAATCCAGAGTTCTCCATGATCACTGTCGTAGGGTGAGATAGCGTCAGGCCCCTCCTTAATCGCTATTAACTCGCTCCTGAAGACAGAGCAAGTGTCTGGATTGCATTGCTTTATTGAGTTTTCTAGATGTTGGGTCCTAATATATATATACCGCTGCCAGTACGATCGTTTGTACGACTACCATGGGTATTAACCTGCATTGCCTTGCTAGGTATGCAACTGATAATTTCCAGAGCCAACTGTCTAAGATCGTCTTCGATGTGAGTTTGCTTGTTTGCAGTGGAATTCAGATCAAAATGGAAAAAAAAAACTCTTTGCAGTCCCACTGAGGGATCAATACAGGATCTTGAGGATTGAGGTTCAACCTCACGAGAGACCAGGTTTTGAGATTGCGCCAGACCAAATTGGTAAAATACTTTAACCCTCATAGCGAATTTGCTTGCGTGTGACACGGGCGAAAGTTGCTTGCAAATTTGCACGCGCCCATGTGAGACACGGGCAATCTTGTACCTTACGTTAGTTTATTTCTGACGCCAGCCTGTGATCTTTTCTTGTAAAAATAAATAGGCTAGATTATAATTAAATTTATTTACCATAGATGACACCACTATTTTCTTGTGTAAACCATTTGGTGCATTCTGATGATTAGTTGTAAGTTTGTATGGAATTCTTCGTTATAAAGCAGTTGTTTGATGTGGAAAGGGTAACATATCCATTTTCATTGAATTAAATATCATAAAAGTAAACAGTTAGCAATAAATTAATTTTTACTTAATGTTTATGTACCTTTATTTGAAAAAGTTACGGATAATAAGTGAAATCTGACGATTTTGAATATGCCAATTCATCAGAAAGTTTCAGCGATGAAAGTGATGATCTCTTGAGTTCATTTAATTTGACTTTAACATTTTGAAATTGCAAATAAACCTGTACTTAAAATGTTTAAACTTCGTTTGTACAGTGCATTTTATAACTTTTACACCAACCCCCTCTCCCAAGTTACCCCACACAGCTGAAATTGCAAAAAAAAAAAAAAAAAAAAAAAAAAAAAAAAAAAAAAAAAAAAAAAAACTTAAACTGTAGTTAGATATTCATTTTCGGTCCAAAAAGAACTCGATAATTTTTTACCAGTGGTACCCAAAAAACATTCCTGTTTTCAGAGGTTAAACATAATTATTACAGTAAAATGCTGTTTCTATACTATTGAATTTTTATAGATAACTACTCGGTGAACGTGGTCTATATTAGTATAAGAAAGAGGTTTTTATCTTCCCTATTTTGTCTCAAAGACTAATTTTCTAACTAATTAAAAAAAAAAATTAAGGCCTTTTTCCCACTGTATGATGATTATAGGTTATGGTATAGGCTTGTTCTTTAACTTGATCTTGGTTACCGGAATAACATTGGTAATTGGAATCGCAATTCCATTAAATGAACAAAAATTGGGAAGTACTAATAAGGTAAATATTACAGTAAAATGTAGTATACTACTATTTAAATTTATAGTAAACTACACAAACTATACTAGATATACAAATATATAATATAACTATAGTAAACAAACTATACTACTACTCTTTATATTAATATAGTAATCTGTATTAATGTAAAGAGACGCTTTTATCTCCTTTTTTTGGCCTCAAAAATCAGCTTTCTAACATATCCAAACCAAATACCAGATACCATAACCAAAAACAAGATTAACTTGCGACAGAAATTTACTATTATTCACTATTAGTACTATTTTACTATTACTTCTATTATTAATTTACGATTACTATTGTTGCATATTATTTTATATACTTTCTAGAAATAATTTTCCCGTGCCGTTCCACAACAAATATTTCTTAATATATAAAATTTACAATTTCCATAAAATTTTTTAAAATGACTGTAAAATCACTCTCCTGGTCTGTCTAAAACTTTTTCTTAAACTCATTTAATTTATTTAGAAGTTTTATACTTACATTTGAATAATTAAAGCAGTATTTGCAAACTTATAGTTGAAGGGTGTAAAATAATAATTTTTGCATTCGTTTTAATTATTTAACTCTCAAAGATTTATCATCTGAAAATTTGTCCCAAGGCTTGCAGCTATTCTCTTGACCCAGGGAATTTTTCTGTTACTTTAGAGAAAAATATAGAAATTACAGTCCTTTCCCTCAGCGAAATTTATTCCCTCCATTCTGTCGGACTGTTTGAAAACTTTGAAGATATGATTCCCCCGATGTTCTAATAGCTTTGAAGTTCTAAAGTGAGGTAGGTAAAAAATGTTGCCATCATTCTCTAACAGTTTTATTATACATGAAAATACTTTTTTTTATTAAAAAGTACCTCTTTAGAATGCAATCAAAAGACTTTCGATTCTAAGTTAATTTGAATTGGAAATGTATTGAGGACCATAATAACGGGATCTTTCTCTGCAAATATACACCTTGTGTTAGTGAAAAGTTCTATTTTAATTCCAGATTAGAGTCATCATTTTTGTCCATCCAGAATCGTGTAACTGGGCTTAAGTATTTAGAACCGGCAGGTATTACGTTCTTCTTCCAACCTGAAAAATAATAACAATATGTCACACAAAGTAGAAATTAATAAAAGAAAGTGACAGGAGGTCATAATTTTTTCTCAATTTTTTTTTTACTATCTGTTGGACCTCCACTTTACCCGAGCGGATGTACTTTGATTTCAATTTTAATTGTTTTCAAAAGATACACATGATATTGTGATATTATCAAAGTTATCTATATATTGAATTGCATTAATAATTTGAAATATGTTCAGAAGCCATTAAATTACACAAACCAACATAAGTTCGTAACATTTCAGTATAGTGGACAGCAGAAATATTAAAGTTATTTCCTTCTCTTTCATGAGATAAGATAGAAAACTCCTCCCCAAGTCCCATTACGAGCTGTACAACTACCTCCTCGCGCACCTATCAATCCATAACTTGTGTAATATAATATGTCTGCTATTGCTTGAAAAAAGGCAAGCTATATCAGCAATATTTGGTACGACAGCATGCAGCACCATAGCAGCGTACCTACAGCCATTTTAGAAAGGCTAAAAAATAAATTCAAATAATTGCTTCGTACCTAAGATTCCATTTCTATAAAAATACAAAATTATTCTAAATAAATGTTTAACGTATAACTAACTATTCAACACTACTTCTACACTAATAAATATTACTCATTAAGACAACATAACAAAATACATTATAGTGTTGTTGCCAATTTAGACGGGGAAATATCTGCGTTTTTGGTTTCCCATAAAAGAAATAAATATATAGATAATAACTTTTGGTAATAATAAAAATGAAAACTTAGTAAACTTAGGTCCTTTGGGATAAATTTCTCTCCAAACCCTTAATGAGCTACAGAGAACATCGCAAATTACTTTTGGCATAGTTAATATGAAAACTTTAGTAAGCTATATTTTAACTTATTTATCTGAAAGTACAAAAATCTTACAAGATAACACATTCATAACTAACATAATTATGTTGCTTTTATACCAGAAAATATCCGTTTCCATTTTACTAAATGTTTAGAGCAAAAAATGATTTTAAGATATTTGGAATACATTCTTAAGTTTTCATCCATTCTAAATCAAAGTCTCTTATAAGCAGCAAAACATGCATGTAGTTACAGTTAATAAAAAACTGAGAATTGAATAGAAGTTTAAATGTATTCATGCTTGAAATTGCTTTAAAGAAAATAATTCATTGCTTATGAAAGAGAGTACTTACCACCAGTAATTAAGACAGCAAAAGTTGTGAGTAAAATATTCAGAAGGAATCCAATAAAAGAATACCACATAAATGTCATTTTGTACAGTACAAAAGGATTCCTGAAATACATATTCATTTATTACTGTTTTTATTATGTTTATATTCAAGCTAACTTATTTAATATTTTACCAATATTAGCTTTAGATGATAAGAATGACAATAATTTCAGAATGCAAAATGATATATTTACGAGGTTTTCACCTACCTGTATATAAGTCAGAATTTCGTTTTTTCTTCTTCTCTTTTTTGTAATACTTCTAAACTTTTGATGATAGAATTATAGTTCGACAGAAATTTCGAAAATGTGAGAAATAAGACATTTTGCTTTATAAGATTGAGAGAAATAGCTCGATGTACTATAAATGCTCCAAATTTTTTTTCTCGAAAGTTTAAAACTACAAAATTAAGAGATTATTAATTTTGGAAAATCGATTTTATACTGTACATTTTTTTAAAAAAACTTTTTTTCGTGAAAGCATGTTTTAACGTATAATATACGAAGATAAAAATATTTTTAAGACTCTAAAATCTGGAAAACATATTGGTCTAAATAGCATTTCTGGAAAATCTGATTGTAGAATTAAATTGGCATTATTTTATTAGAAAATATTATTTAAAATTGGAATACTGCTCACTAAAACTATTTAATTATTAGTGGGTGACTATCTTGAGTTGAGGTTTACATTATTTAAAATATACTCTGAGTAAATATCAATATTTTTTTTTGGAAATTAAAAATAAAAATAACTATAAAGACTTAAAAGTATATTAACTCTCTTTCGTTATCTTTCGCCGGGTTATACCTTCAAACTAATGAAAAATTCATATTAACTCAATTTTATTAGCGGTTTATAATTAATATTTAGAATATTTTTTTCAAAAAATATGCATTGAAATATATTCTAATAAGCTTCATAACCATAGTTCAAGCTATAAGGTCGTAAGCATTTTTAAAATTTTTAAGCTGATAGCTTTTTCGATGAATATAATTAAATAAAAATTATTCATGAACATTGCTTAATAAACAAAACACACACATTCAATTAATTATTTATAAAAAAAAAAGCACAGTGGATGTGAAATTCGTTGTTTTATATCTGATGTAGACCATTAAGGAGAATATTTAATTCACAAATTTCAGTAAAACATTAGTTTATTAATTAGAATTTTAAAAGATGAAAAATAAAACTTCAAAAATATTATTTTAATCAAGAACTTATGCGTTTTTTATCCGTTACGGTTTAATCCAGAATTATGGAAAATATTGTCGAAACAACCAGTAGTCGGCCTGGTTGTTCCTGGTATTTTAAAATGTTAAAACTTCAACAATTTTGAGATCACCAGCCGGATGACAACAGTGTGGTCATCATTAAACACAGGCCGGTTTTTTCCCCAGACGATGTTATTTTGGTGGAGGTGATCGATTGTGGAAGTGGAAATTTATAAATTCATTATTGTTCTTTTTGGCCGTTAATGAATGGATGAAACAAAATGACGATCTATAGGAAATTAATATGAATCATAGTAAAAATCAAATTTATTAAACAATAATTCGTGAAGATTATAAACAATGACCATTATATAAAATTGCAGAATAAATCTCTTAAACGGATCAAGAAAATATAACTTCGATATTGAGAAGTTTTTGTTAGCATTCTGTTAGAATTACATGTTTAAGACGGTTAAGATGGCTGGGACTGGAGCGTCCAGAGGGCACTCCTAGTAGCCACAAATTTTGAATTAAAAATGAATACAATTGTTCCTAACGGACACAGGAAAAGCATGGGTAGGAGATCCAAAAATCGGCGATTTATCAAAATATAACAGCCAAAACAAAACTAACCCCGCATATCAATATTGGGTTTAAAAAATGCATTGGCGATCTTGAGTTGCCAATAAATTTATGAAAATCATCACAATCATGCAACTGAAACGTTTAGCGGTTAGAAATTTAGAATAAAAAGTTTTAAATAGATTTTTGGTTTCGATTAGGCACGACAGTGAATTAATTAGTCTGAATTAATATTGAAATAAAGAGTATCCGTTGCATTGATCTAAGAGAAGAATAAAATATTTTATGTTCGTTTTAAAAGATTAAATCTTTGATTTATTTTAAATATAATTCTATTAATAAAATAAGTTTAAGTAATTAAATATATTTTAAAGGATAGGAAATAAGTATGAAATGCCAATTGTGGCATCACACATATCCCCGCTGGACACAGAAAAAAAAATATCTACTTTTTTTTTACTAAATTAATGTATCTCCCCCATGTTATAAAAAAATGTTATGCACTGAAACATAACATATCCAAGGAACAAAATATGAAATATACACTTATGTACAGTTAAATATGAAAATAAAATTATTAGTCAAAAATTTTTTTTAAAGAACATACAGTTATAGTTCTAACATATATTTTCAACATTCAAGTTATTAAATATCATATATAAATGTTCTGAGCTTTTTATGTAAAATTAGCTGAGTATATTTATAAAATGCTACATTTAGCTGAGCATTGTCATCAACTATCCAGGATATTTTTAATTTATCTCAAATTATAGAGAACAGCAAACTTACATTATTATTATTTCTTTATTTCCAACAAGTCCTTTTCTTGAGAAAAATAATTTACTTCAGTTTCGTTTGCCATCATTGTTTCAAACTTATACATTTCAGCATGAAAAATTTTTGGAACATTTTATTATGTTCATTAAAAAATTTATACTCAGCAAAAAAAATCTTATCTTTATTATGAACAATTATTGAATAGTATAAAAATAGTTCAGTTCAAAACACTTACCAAAACTTGCATTATCTTTTCACAGTAAAGAAATATTTCTAAGTCAAAAGGTAATATTTTGGTGTGTATTACTTATGTTTAATAACTATACTCGTATGCATAGGGAAGTAATTATATTTTCTTATTTGAACTCACACTGAAAAAATTTAGGAATTTAGGACTAAGTAACATGTCTAATACTGCTCCTGTAAAATTATTGTTATAAGATTAAAAATTAAAATGGATGTAATCTTTAAAGCTATTGTAAAATTAAAAAAATATATTCGATGAATTATTGTTCATTTTATTATGAAAAATATCTATGTCACTTAATCAATTTTAATTATCTGGGCCTCAATTTTAATTACCTGGGTAAAAAAAATCACCATAAATCATTCCGCACAGATGCCTCCATGCAAAACAACAGCAACAATGAGACAGAGTTTAATTAATAGATATCAAAATTATTTATAGAGTACGAGTACTTGTTCAAAGTGATCATATGGTTGAAATTCAATTATATATATATATATTTCAAGTATTAATTATGAATCACATATTTTATAAAATTTTCGTCTGAAATACTCAGAAGTATTCGTTATATATTCACAAATCTTAGAATGCTTTGTGTTAGCATCCATTGAGTACAAGGATTATGGATTGAAAGAAAAATTTGATGAGTTCATAGTGTACACAATTTTCTTTCATGTAGATATTTAATTATTCTCAAATTTCAATCAGTTCTTCAAATTTAAATGCACAAAATATTTTTTTTACGCCAAAATTTTATTGCGAGTGCAACTTGTTTTAGTATTTGTTTTCATATATGAAAACTAAAAAAAAAGTTATATGCTTGAAGTGCAAAATAGTAAATATATAAATTCAAAATACACTTGAAATAAAAAGATATTTATATGAATGGAAAAAATTATATCTTACTTAGTATATATTTGTAAATAAAATGTTACTGCCTTTAAAGCAGGAAAGACTTGAAAAAAATCAAGATGCATATTGCATTCATAAAATCAAAAAAATTTATCTAAGCGATTCTATTCCTTAAATTGTAACTGTTTTAAATATTGAGCTTTTAAAGAAAATTGGGAACTCTTAAAAAAATTATTTAAACTTACTTTTCAGTATTTGATGATGGTAATATTGATGAGGATACATTAAAAATACTTTCAGACATTGTTTCATTTTGTGATGAAGGACACTTGCTGTTGTTTAAAGGTAATGAAGGTTGGACATATCCTGTATAAAGAGTACTTAGTGCTATCCAGGTCATTATTATATAAGTCACAACAGCACCAAAAGAAATACACTGAAATTAAATAAATTCATATAATTCCACGATTATATAATTAAATTTGTTTAAAATTTAAACAATTAACTTTATTCTTATTTCTTAAATTATATGCTATGAATATTGATATGAATATGCATGAATATTTACATTATTTAACGATTGAATTTTAAAATTAGTTTTAGATGTTTTGATAATTGCTCCGATTGAGTTGAAGTTTAACTTGCTCCGATCTGAGGCCCTTAAAGAATACATTGAGTTCTCAAAGTATTGAGTACCAAGAGAACTTTAAGGGTAAGGACCTCGGTCTTGTTTTGCCATCTCCTGTACATAATACTACCTTTGTCCTTTTAGATATTTATACTTTTTGCCTTGCCATTGAAAATAAAAAGAAATGTATTAATAACAAACTCAGTAATTTATACCAAAAATAAATTAAAACTATAAATTAGTAATGGGAGATAAAAGGCTTAATGAGAATGTGCTTGAAATAATCTTTTCAAACCTTTGAATGGTGTGTATTAAAATGATGTGTTGAATGGTGTGTACTATGTTTTTTTACACGTTGTGTTTAAATTATTGTTTATATGAAAACAATGATAATGGCACTATCTAGCAAGCACGATAACTCTTTAAAAAAATTATATGGACTTAAAATCTAATTATAGGATTTTCACGTAATGTACCGTTAGAAATGTCTCGGCAAAAATGGTTAAATGGCAAATTTTTTAAAGTGTTATTTTACCATATTCAATCAAAACAGTAAAATAACTATAAAAAATATGATTTTCAAATTGTCTAGAGCAGTGATTCTCAACCTTTTTTTTTTGTTGCGGCACACTTTTAACGATTTCGAAATTTGACGGCACACAATGAAAACAATTTGATTAAAAGCTGTTTAATTACCTATTTTACACTGTATTAAATAGTTTGTGATAATAATTTTGAATGTGAAACAATATGTACTACAAAAGCATATTTATTAAGGGATTAATTATTTCTTTCGAACAATTTTTAATTAGTTAGTAACAGTTAATTTATTTTTTTGCTAGTTATTAATTGTTAGCTTGTTTTCTATAATTATTAACTGTTATTTTTTTGTGATTTCTTGTTAACTAGTTTTTTTGCAAATAAATAATTGTTAGCTTAATTTTTGTTAGTTATCCTTTGTTAATTTGTTTTTTATATATTTGTTTTTCTCGTTATCCCTTGTTNGTACATAATAATACTTTTGTATCTTTGTCCTTTTTCGATATTTATACTTTTTGCCTCGCCATTGAAAATAAAAAGAAATGCATTAACACTAGATTGCCTAAGGAAGTCATTTTGACTGCTTTTAATTTCAATTAGAAAAGCAATAATATATGTAATGACGCAATTTCTTAGAATTTTGTGACTTTTTGTACAACGTATAATTTTTTTATTGCTAATATTTACTAATAACTCATTGTAAAACTGTAAATAATACAAAAAATGTTAAAAATTAATTTTAAACAAATTTATTTAGGCATTCACAATCCAGTCATTTTGACTGCTTTTGGGCAATATAGGTATATGCTAATTTTCCGTCTTTCTAGTGTTAATAACATAATCAGTAATTTATGCCAAAAATAAGTTAAAACTATAAATAAGTAATGGGAGATAAAAGGCTTAATGAGAATGTGCTTGAAATAATCTTTTCAAACCTTTGAATGGTGTGTATTAAGAACAATGTTTATTTTACACGTTGTGTTTAAGTTATTCTTTATATGAAAACAATGATAATGGCACTATCAAGCAAGCACGATAACTCTTTAAAAAAATTCTATGGACTCAAAATCTAATTATAGGATTTTCACGTAATACACCGTTAGAAATGTCTCGACAAAAATGGTTAAATGGCAAATTTTTTAAAGTGTTATTTAACCTTATTCAATCAAAACAGTAAAATAACTATAAGAAATATGATTTTCAAATTGTCTAGAGCAGTGATTCTCAACCTTTCTTTTGTGGCGGCACAATTTTAACGATTTCGAAATTTGCCGGTACACAATAAAAAAAAATTAGTTTAAAAGTTGTTTACTTACCTATAATACACTGTGTTAAATAGTTAGTGATAATAATTTTGAATGTGAAATAAAATAATATGTACAACAAAAGCACGTTTATTGAGAGATAATTATTTCTTTCGACTAATTTTGTATTAGTTGGTATTAGTTATTTATTTTTTTGCTAGTTATTAATTGTTAACTTGTTTTCTATAGTTATTAATTGTTAGTTTTTCTACATTGCTATTTTTGTGTGATTTCTTGTTAACTAGTTTTTTTGCTAATTAAATGTTAGCATATTTTTTTGTTAGTTATCCTTTGCTAATTCGCTTTTATAACTATTAATTGCATAGCTTACTTTAATGATTAGCTTTTATTTCCGTTAGAAAGTCTTATTTAGTTTTCTTTCTTTTGTTAATTAATAATTTTAATGGTCATTAAATTTTCTACTTAATTCAACATTTTTTAAAATTGCCATAAACAATTTAAATGCTTCCTTCTTATTTTAACTTATTTTGAGATTGTCAGAGACAAGACAATCAATGACAAAGATTTTCACGCTGTTAAAGCCCGGAAAAATTGTAGAAGTATATATATATATATAATATTATGTATACATATATATATGATATTATACATAATATACACTTTTCTTTAATTTAAACTTTACTCGTAATAAAAAAAGCATTTTAATTTTTATTGTATCATTTCTAATATTTGGCGACACATTTTAAAAATTTGGCGGCACACAAAAGTGCCGCGGCACAGTGGTTGAGAATCACTGGTCTAGAGTGAGGAAAAAATACTTCATTATTCCCCCCCCCTATACGGTTAAATAACCAGAATTTCGCTCTCTCTCACTAGGATCACCTTATGAAGTTATTTTTTTCCAGGCAGTAGGGCACATAGTGTACCTGAGAGGGCTAATCCGTCTATCTCATAACCGGCTATAAAGTAATCGTAGACAATTACTTTAAGAACAACATGACATATCGTGTATAAGGTGTTGTGAAATGGTAAAAAATGGAAATATCGTATATATGGAAATAAATGGAAATATCGTAAATAGAAAATCCGTTTAAATGTCAATTAAAAGATGGTCAAGATGGGGATTACCGAAATTCATAATACTTAACAGTTAAAGAAAGCGACAGCTGTCAATATCTATAAAATAATAGAGGTGGCCAAATAATAGCAACTGTCCCCTAAATAGCATATTTCGTGAATCTTAGAGAATAAAACTTACTTTATCACCAGCTTTTCTTGTCAGCATTCCAAACAGAAAAACAGCACAAATAATACCCTGAGGTAAGGCAATAAATACTTGAGTCAAATGGTGAATACTGCGTGATTGTAGAAAAGCAAAGCTCAAACCAATGCATAGTCCACCATAGATAATAGCTTTTAAATAAAAATAAATAGTTGAAACTGAAAATGCATTCAAAAGAAATAAACGAAAAGTTTCTAAGCTTTAAAGCAGTATATCTATTGATCTAGTTAGGAAATTAATGTAACAAAATAACATTTTCAGTATTTTCTTGAAGTTTTTGCTAATAAATTTTTAAAATCTTACTGAAGACAGATAAGGACTGTTTCATTAATCTTCAATCAAAACGATCTTTGTGTTCCGTACAATATACTAGTATTATTAAATATATATATTAGTTTTACTATTTATTTATAACTGTATTACTATGTCAGTTATACTAGTTAATTATATAATATATCACTTAATATACTAGTTAGCTAATAATGCAAGGCTTGCAACGGGGGTAAATCTAAACATCATTTACATTATTCAATTAACTATTATTATTTATTAGAAAATTTGTACATATCTTTGTAAAGTTATTTACAATAAACTACTTAATTAATTTCTCTACTTACNCTTACTTGATCATACTTGCAACGGGGGTAACATTATTCATTATTCAATAAACTATTATTGTCAAATATTGTCATTTACATTATTCAATAAACTATTATTATTTATTAGAAAATTTGTACATATCTTTGTAAAGTTATTTACAATAAACTACTTAATTAATTTCTCTCAAAGTTGGGAATTATATGCATATACTTAAATACCTTCCACCATAAAAAAAGCCTCCTGAACGAGAACACCATGCAATGCGGACTATCAGTCGCAACGCCTCGAGTCACGTGCAATTCTGGGCATCGAAAACTAAGTCGAAAAGTAAAGGCGGACGGTTAAGTTGCACAAGCACCGAGTTTGAAACAATAAGGTGGCTATGCAAGTTAATCTCAGTTGTCAGCTGCATATGAGCAAATACATCACAACTCATGAGTACGGCCCTCTGGATGAAAGTTAATCGCAATGTAGTTAAGATGTAATCGCGTGTAGTTAAGATGTTATCGTAATGTAATCGCATGAAAGTTAATCGCAAATTCATTTATATATATTGAATGGCATTCAGAAGTTATTTAAATAGATAATTTTGTTAAGTTCACTCAAATAGTTTCTATTCCTATAATATTAATGAAGTCTTTAGATACTTACACACAATTTTTGCCAGCAAAATGATTTTAAAATCAGAAATGTTGTCCTTTCCGAAGAATGGTATTAGATAATCTATGACTGTAACTGTTGAGGCAGAGTTTAGACACGAGGATATAGTACTCAGAGAAGCACTGAAGATACCAGCTATGCATAAACCTGTCAATCCCGGATAAGAACTAAATCTTGTTGCAATGTAAGCCGGGACAATCTAAAAAAGAGATTAAAGTTCAATCATAAGTACGTACATTTTACTCTTACTTTCGTTGCGAGTAACGAGATTAAAATTATTGCCGTGTATGGACAAGAAACAGTGGTGAACCATACAGAACACTTACTGTGCACTGTTTGTGAAAAGAGATACTGAATTCTCGCTATGACATCGTTTAACTTTAGCACCATTTCTGGAGCTAAATAAATCTGGATAAATGATATTTTCTTAGGCTAAGAAGTAAAAGTGTTTAACAATAGTATTGCGAAAAATAATTGTGCTTTAATTTATTTTGAGTGAAGTTCTCCAGAAGTGGTATCCACTCTTTCAGGACCACCACAATGGGTGAGATACCGTTGGCCATGTTAATTTGGACGTCTAGTTTCTGCCACACTAGATGGCAGCACTGAGACTATATTTGGATGCTAAAGAGCACTAGGAATTTAATTTTGCAGGATAGAGCCAATAAGGCACTCCAGAGATCTTTTACATGCCGCATAATCATACGACATGGCCGCTGAGGATTTTCTGCATCCCGAAAATCCGGTGTCTTGGCCGGGGATCGAATCCGCAGATTTGGGCTCAGAAGGCTGACGTCAAACCAACTGCGCCACCCAGCCACTTGAGTGTTTAGTTATTATAAGCACTTTTTTCGCAGGTGGCTGGGATAGCCTGACTGGTACATCCGAGAAGTAGAGAGTTCGATCCCAACTGGCCGGAGGTGACTGGTGCACGTTTAATCTGTTAGGAATACAAAGTTCTCCTAATTCACATAACAAATCAATATCTCTGGGAAGCCCTTATAGCGTAAAGGATGATCACGCCTATGTCTCACCCTTTGAGCTAAGAGCTTCCCCGCAGTTCCAGAATTGAAACGAATGCAAATACTTTTAAAGCTTGTTTATTTTACTTCAAAAAATAATCAATAACAATCCTAACTATGTTTACAAATATAAAAAAAATAATAATAAGAGAAAAATAAGTGAAAAGCAAATTTTCACAGTTTCGAAAATCCTTGCAAGGGCTCTAACAATCGTCCTGTCGACACCTTATTGAAATATTTTAAAGATAGAATATGATGAATCTCAATACGCTTAAATGTTGATAAATAAGTAGCTCAACACTATGTAATGATGTAGAAAACCTGGTGTAGAGAACGAGTTATTTCGTTCTTAGCTCATAGCGAATATTTCTGGAAGAAGAGTTATCTCATCCATCGTGACTTAAGAAAATATCTTATAATTTGTGTCTAGCAGATTCAAATATTTATAGACATTTAATCTCTTTATCATATATATCCCGAATAATATTAAATAACCAATAGATATTTTTTAAAGTACAATATGTGTACGAAAATAATGATAAAAATTTAGCATCATCTTAAATTTATTGCTTTCACTCAAAAATGGATTCTGTTGCCCAAAGAATATAATTTAGTTTGAAATAAAAGTCTTATTTCTATAAGTATTAATATAAGAATACATTATCATAGTTAATATTAGGAGGATAGGAAAGTAATGTCGTTTCGGTGCATTTGTCATCAATATTTTAGTTTTAATCAATATATTTCCCTCGTTAGTAACAACCTTTCACTGCCAGATCGAAAATGAATTGGTTTTTAAGGCTAACGAATATTTGATGTTCCGAAATGACATTACTTTTCATTCCAACTAATAGTATTTCTATAAGAATATTATCATAGTATATGAAAGTATTAAATGTTATTTATTTTAAATGTTATTCACTTTAAATGTTTTTTATTTTAAATGTTATTTATTTTAAATGTTTCATTTTTTATCTGTCATTTTAATACTATTTTACTTTATTACATTGTTGTTGTTGACATATGCCTGCTTAGGCAGAGGGGGTGCGATTGTTCTTGTTTTCCGTTGGCGCCATCTATGGCCAAGAATTCGACTTCTGCCTCACCATACGTCACACCCGTTTATAGGGTGGACCCATTCATACATCCATTCATTCATCCACAGATCGTAATTTTGACCTGAATCAGAGAACGATCGATCTCCAATCCAGTACCCCAGAGGCATTGATATGTTATGGGAACACGGAGGACTTTTGAGACTCGATAGATTTAACATGCATCAGTCACTTTACTACACGGGGAGTCTTCAGCCGGCGGGTTCGAGCCCACGAACTCTCTGACATGGGCCCAGCGCTCTACCGACCAGGCTATCTCGGCCCACTATATTATATTACTATGCATAATAACAGTTTAAATAGCCATGAAAGCATTACATTAATTTGTTTAATTTACTTTCTACATTTGCTACTTACTTGATCATATTTTGTTAATCCTGTTCTCTCTTTATTTAAGATTGGATCACAGTTATAATAAACACCATATAACACAAGTCCTAAGAAACAGCACGTTGTGTACATGAGACACACTGGGAAACTACTCATTCGAAGAGTTCTATAAATATTCAAATACATAATTGGATAAAATATTCTGCATTTTATTTTAAAATTTAAATGCGGAAATAGGAAAAGTATAAAGGGGAAAAATATCATTGAAAAATAAATTGGTCGTTATTTGAATAGAATATTCAAAGAAAGTTTCATGAAAAGAGATTTGAATTACAAAAATTGTTTAAATTTCCCGATTCCAAGTTAGGCACTCATGCAGTTTACATGTTTAAATCTTGAACAAACTAGCACACATTGCAGAAGTTCCCCGTTAAAATGAATATGCATGTTTTTAGATGTGTTATGAGGGTGATTATATTTAAACTTTTAAACCTCTGTCAACTGTATAATAATAACATTGTAACGTTATAATGTATTATTTCTATCCACTTCTGTACTATTAAGTCAAGTTCGAATTCTTGTTGATATTCTTTCTATGATATGTGTATGTTTGCTTAAGCTAATTTTGTTTTGAGAAGTATATAATTTATTTTTAGAAGCTAATTTTATTTTGAGAAGAATTTATATTTCGAATGCATCTTAAACTAAATATTCTAATTTTAAACTGTTTCATAAAAATAATTTTTCTGAATAATATCTGTATAATATTTTACTATTACTATCAATTTTAATGTTATTGAATGACAAAAATGATGGCAGCTACTTCACATTAAGTAGGACAAAAGATAATTCATAGTGTAACGCCAGGAACCGGTGATAACGGATTGCACTAATGGTTTTCTAAAATATGGTGGACTGCGCTGCAAACATCTTCTCCCCCTTGAGAATGGTTGGTGTACTGCGATCGAGGTAATCCTTATGACCATCCCTCCTTGACCATTCCTTGGTGAAATAAACCAAGTGTTAATTATGGTGTTTAACTACATTACTTTGGTGTAAAGAAGTTTCCCCCATTTTTGGTGTTAAAGAACTCTAAAAAGTTTTATAGTGTGGAATGCTAAAATGATTCGTTGACAATTACAGCTTTGTTTTTAAATATGTAACAAAAGATAAATTTAGCATTATTTTTCTACGAGGAAATCGTTCCTTATCGTGGAATGCATGATTTTTAACATACAATTTGTTTAGATCAAATTGTCATAATTTTAATTGGGGGTAAGTTCTGTTTGGTAATAGAAGGATAATTAATTCTACTATTAGTTGCCAGAAAACTATTAAGACATGTGTAAACTTGATGTACTACACTTCTTAAGATCAGAACGAGATGCATTTTTCAAGATCAGGATAGAATTTTTGTTGAAAAATATTACAATTACCATGTTGACTGTAACATGTTCCTAGCTATTATGCTGCCATCTACTAGATATTCTGAAAATATGGAAAGTACATACGTATTTGGAAACAATCAATAATTAATTTTGGCAATTTTGGTTTGCAGTGTGAAGTATTCCTTGGTTACTAAAAAAAAAGAAAGAAAAAAACACGAAACAGTAAATATGATTTTTATGCAAGGTCAGGCTCTCTATCTTTAGATAATTTTAAACCACTTATCTAAGCTCCGTAATTATGATAAAAACAGGAACTCAAGAGCTAATGCATTTGTAATTCAGTATCAATTCGAATTAGCATTTAATAGCTATTTCTGAAACCTATAAAATATATCGATATGATCCACACACACAATGTTTTTAGATTGTTATATACATACGATTTTGCTCTTTTAATGGTACTGAGACTGAGTAATCTTTGTACTTCAACTTGGTTAGTTCCAAAAAAAGACACTCCTACTAATATTCCTTGAGTTGCGCATGCCCAAAATCCATACCTCCTGGTTATATCTGGCATGAGCCTGTAATGTTACAAAAATAAGACAATATCGTATGCGATGAGTTTCATAACTATGAAAACATTCTTACTCGAATAAGTCCAGTCTCTTTCCACTTGAAGCTTTTTGAAAGAGTTCAAAAATACCACCTGCATCACTGATGCCTTTTATGTATATTGCTAATAAACAAGTTATCATTAAAATAGCTTGAAAACAATCCGTCCACAAAACAGCTTTAAGTCCACCCTGAATATTAAAATTATTATGTAGATATTATGTAAGAAAGCGACAGCAGTGATTACACAAAACAGCTTTATGGTAAGAAGGATTAAAAATTAGTATAGCGTTGTAGTTAGAGTATTTGAGCAATGTTTTTCTTGTAAATTAAAAAAATATGCTTGAAAAGCATTTGTCTGCAAAACAGTTTTAAGTTCACCCGAAATATTAAAATAAATAATTATTAATTAAGATTTAAGAGATTGATCATAGTGATAAGACGAAATACATCGAGTAAAAAACGAGAGGAGACCAGTTACATTCAAATTGACAATGGTTTTATTCCCCTTTTTTATGTTACTGAAAAATTAGTTTGCTCCTTAACTTAAAGGTTTTTTTCCTGCCCTATTTTGGTGATAGAATTTGAATTTTCTGTAAGAATATATTTTGCGAAGACGTTTTAAAGCACTAGCATCCGATGGGCTGGTCAATCGGCTTGTATGGTAGTCAGGGAGCTGACCTCACACCAGAAAGATCCCCTGTTCGAATCTAGATCAGAGACATTGATCTTCTTTCGTTCTTTTTTGTTCTATTAGTCCTTATTATTGTGGGAGTAACGATGGCACACCTAATATGGTGCACCCTGAAAGAATGGTCAACGCAACTCCACTTCTGATACTCGAATGACCAATGGCAATTTATGAGTGGACATTGAAAAAAAAACTTGCATTCAATGATTGCTCTCCGTGGACCTAGTCATCAGTTTCTAAACTTACAAATAGACTCATTCCAAAATTAAAATTGCATATTTTCTTTTTTGAAGTTTTTAAAAAAACTATTTGAAAATAATTTTTAATAAATAATTACCAATTTTACGTATGTTTATGCATTTTTATGCAACTGAGCAAATGGAGATTAAAAATTCTGTGTCACAATCATACGCAATTTGTTCGCAACATTAAAACATAGATGCACCGGGATGGTTTGTGAAAATTCTAAATATCTGCAATGTCACTATTGAAAAAATACGTAAAGTGCTTCATTACGTCGCGATACTGGAAGCGTTAAATGCGCATAATGTCAAAGCATAATGAATTTTACGTCTCATAAATGCGCGCAGTAGCTAATATATACATTAAAGATGAGTTTAAAAAAAATCAATTTTTAGTTTTCCAAGCGTTGCAAAAGATTTCCTTTTGTAGATAGGAGAATTGTTCTTAAAATTACCACAAAATCTCATAGTTTCTACATACACCAATAACAAAAAAAAAGAAAAAATCAGCGATTTCAGTTCTATAAATTCAAATGTACTATGAAACGAAGAGCTAAGAATTGAAATACCTTTCAAGCATTAAACTATCTAAATTAGATAAGTACAATAAAGATATTTTATTTATCCATATTTTCATTTTGTAAAATTTAATAATTTTTCATCGATTGTATTAAATGCGTTGCTTTGCAATAAGTATAAAGTATTCCCACATAAGCCAGCTCACAACCAGGGAATGGAAGTTAAAATTCCTCAATTTCTAGGTCGTTGTTGTAGTTGTTGTACTTAATTTACTTCGCACTAGAGCTGCACAATGGGCTAATGGCGTTTAACGAGGACTAATACCGCACACCCTTGGTCCCTACGCAGATTAATCCAAGTGGTCACCCACGCGCACACTGACCGTGATGCTTGACTTCGGTGATCTGCTGGGAACCGTGTCTTAACGATCAGTCCACTGCGGTACTCATTTTCTAGGTCAACGACTTGATTGTCAATGAGATCAGAATTACACACAGGCAGCTTTTACTTCTCAGACAAACTGGTTCCCAAAGATCTGAAACTGTGAGCTTCAAGCCGCCTCTAGGGATAGAGTGATAATGTCAGAGAATAATGACACGGGTCTAACATAGAGCTAAATCCCTGCTCCATCAGTTCAATAAGTTCACGTACTCAAATTCTTTTTTTTTTTATGGATCAATAATAGTTTGTTAATAAACGATAAAATACGATGCATTTAATCAAGAAATTAAATTAAATAAGTTAAGATTGTAAGTAATAATTTCCATTTCATACAATAAAGGATAAAAAAAAGGAAACAAATTTTAAAATTTAATATTTCTGAAAATGATGAATCAATTCAGAAACCAGTCTCACCAAGGAACAATAAAAGGCACAAACAGCCCCCAAGGACACAATGGAAGCTTCAAAAGACAAATCAGTGGTAGCACTTAAGGCCAAAACTGCTCCATAAAGCGATATGGACATGTAGAATACCTAAAAAAGATCTTAAATTAAAAATTATATCACTTTTTTTTCTTTCGTTTTGATGCAATACAAATATTCATTCTTACCATCTGCAGAAGAAACATAACAGACACCAGATATCTAATAATTCGTCCATATCGCATTTCAAGGTACTAGAAAAATATATTTTTAAAATTATTAAAAGCAAACATTTTTAATTTCATTTTTTTAAAATGATTTCTAATTATAAGAAGCATTAACACTGAAACGCAATAGTTGGGGCAGATCAAAGCGTACAATCAAAATTTAATATTGATAGTAATATTTAATTTTGGTTCGTATTTGTATTTCGGCTTTATATTCAGAGTTTGTATTTCTGATTTGTATTTATTTTAGCCCTATATTAAGTTTTTCACTTTGCTTTATACTTAGATCTATAGTTTATGCAGACAAATGAAATTACAAATTTAAGAAAGACTCTGAAAAAAATAAAAAATTGCAACCAAGAAAAAAACAACAGAAATTTTCGTTTCTGGAGAAACTTAATACATTTAAAATCTGCTAATTTAAATCGTATTATTCTATTTGTTGAACTATATTATTCAACTTTCAAGTACCAATATTATGGTTCAACATTTAACCATGGGTGTTTGAGTGAAACTTTAAAGAAATATTAATAGTTAAATGTCAAATGGGTGAAGGTTTTTTTAATTATTTTCATAGTCAACTTAACAGAATAACTGAGATAAAAAATTTTATGAAATTCTGTCATGAAAAAAACCACTCCTAATCCAAAAAATATGCGAAAAATTTGATATTTTGAAATTTCTTAGGAATGAATATATCAATACACTGAAAATGGAAAACACATTTAGCAAATTCTATGCCGAAAATTCTCGATAAACAATAGTGTTGCGTTAAAACTAGCTATCAGAATTTCGGAATAACTTGGAAAGATGATGTAGCTGCTCTGGAATATTTAATTTTTATTTAATTAAAATTGATGTTTTTTTCATTTGTTTTTGTAAATAAGTAAAATGTTTGAAATGAATTAAAAGATTTTTCTGAATATTATTTTTTTTATATAAATCAAGGGGAAAGTTTACGGTTTTAAATTACGGTTTTATTTAAACACAATTTTTTTTAAAGTGTGTAGATATTTACGATGAATAGCAATATTTTTGGATTATACTTTATAACTTTATACACAAAATTTATCATTATACCTTTAACATAAACTATATAACATACTGTAAATACTGTATTGCAACAGTATTTTTGGATTTTAGCTGAAATTGATAATAAATTTCAATAAAAAGCAAGTTATGCTCGGATGTAAGTTGCTTTCTAGTTTGCAAAAGAAGGGCTTGAAGTGAAGTAAAATATTTATAAACCACACTTTTTTCCAAAAGTGACATTTCTTACTCTAAAAACTTTCATTAGTTTTGTTTCCATTTAAGTACCTTATCAGTTTTTTTCCTTCGTAATTTTCACTAGATAACACGGTCAATTCACATACAGATTATATTCCAGGGTAACCAATTTCCAGAAACTTTTAAAACTGATAGATAAAGATCGGAAAACAAAATCTTTTAATCTCAATATTATCAACCGAAACTTTTTGCAAATTAGACTCCAGTGTTATAACTGGCAGGCTGAATCGACGTAAAATAAAATTCACGATACCTTAATAAACTTTTTCCAGACTACAAAAGACTTCATGGAAATGTATCGTAAGAACAATCACAAATCAATATTGATTGATGGTTCATGAGAATCAAACTTCTCTTGATGGTTAACCATCATAGTATTAAAGTGGCGTTTTCCATCATGGAATAATGGAAGTTTGTCAGCATATCAAAAACCATGAACACATAATGGTAAATGCTGGATGATGGTGACCATCAAATGATGTTGGACCATCATGAATCACACTGGAAACAACATAAACCATCAAAATGCTTTGATGGTGTCATCAAGAATTTTCACTTGGTTTCTGTGAGATTTATAATTGCCCTAATCTCTTTCATTTGTTTCCTACCAGCAATATAAAAACAGAAACTTTATGTAATGATATTCTACTTCTTACCTCAGTTATGCTTGACACTTCACATTGGAAATACACTGGTATAATAACGCTTGATGATATAAGCATTCCTATGGGTATCATAAAAATATGGATAGAAAAAGCAATACCATATTTGTAAACTTCAGCTGGCGCGGAAAGAAAGGAAGACGTGGATGTAAGAGTAACAATGATAGAAAAGATGACAGGAAATTTTGGCATATTTTTTCCTGCCAACAAATAATCCGAAGATATTATCTGCTGACCTTTGAAATACCTTGCACATAACCCTATCCCAGCTGATAACAAAAGTGTTAAAGAAATAATAACATAATCGGCTCCACCAAGACTGTATTTTTTAAACATTATTATTTCCTTGTCTGATTACAAACTTCTGTGATTTGCAACAGCTTATTAAATGCGGTGGAAAAAATTTGGTAATGAAATGCTGACAAAAAATTAAGTTATTTTCAGGGTAGTTCATCTTCGTAAAAAGATATCATTTCTCATAGTTATTTACTGTCTTATTCTTATTAAACGTCGTTTTCAATGATAACAAGTGGAAGAAAATGCTATAAATTATGTACTCTAAGGAAGAGTGACTTTTTTCTGTCGGTTTTTCTATTCTTTATTTCAAGAATTAATCTGTCGTGGAATTCAATTGAAAATCAATTGAATATCAATTGAAAGAGTAGATATATATTGGGTTATTAAATGGTAATTTTACATGTTTTAAAAATAGCATCGTTCATTTGAACCACAATACTATAAATTGAAATACTATAATATTACAGTAAAATGCAGTTTCTATACTGCTATTCAAAATTTTCAGTAAACTACACTGTAAAAGTGATCTATATTAATGTACGGAGAGGTTTTTATCTCCTTTATTTTGTAATGAAGACTAGTTTTCTAATACATTTCAAAGCATATTAAAAGCTTTTACACGGTGTGATGGGCTGGAATGGAGCAGCACCTGCTGCCGCCGCAGGTTTTCAGCAGATTATAATTACCGAAGGTTTTTCGCAGGTTACCGGAACTGAACCGTTTCATTAACTGATTGAACATTATTCGACTAAGTATCATGCCTCATTTTTTTTTATAAATATATACACTTTCAGTAATTATTGAATTTACTATAAAACGCATTTCTATGGTGCTAGTGTTTTTTTTTTTGAAAGGTAAATGTTTGTAATATAATACTCAATATTTTAACTTTAGTTTGGAACTTAACTTAAATGATATTATTCTGAAGATTTGCACATGTAAAATTTTTTTAATAAATCCCCATATTTTTTAAAACAATGAATGGCCTATCTATACTAATACAGTTGAAAAAAGTATTAGTGATATTAATTTGTTTCATGTCTCGCATACTTAATTGGACCTTAAGAAATTTCTTCTCATATATTCAAATAAATAAAACAACTGATTTTATAAATTATCACATATATATCAAATTATTTTGAGCCATTACTTGAAGTAGTTATTTAATTATTGTTTTTTGAATTATTTTTAATTAGAAGTAACTACTAAGCTTTCTCAGTTCCTAATTTTAATCTGTTATCATTCTTTAGTTTATACAAACTTTGATTTGTAGGAAATTGAATTGAAATGTGAATACCTAACTGCTTCATTGATAGTGCGTTAAAAGAAATTAAGTTAACAAATTACTTTATTAAAAATAAATTAAATTAAACGAAACTAAATTATATAACCTTAAAAAGCAAAAAAGGTTTCTTAATTTAAAATACATATTTGATACTGTTTTAAAATATCGAATACAAACGGTACAGAAAGTACGGAAATTGAACTACATGAACTTTTTAATTTTATCCCTTTCCAATAAAGAAAATTTATAATAAAAAAATAACTGATCTATTGGTACAAATAACTATTTTACGCCCATTTTAGACAAAATTGTATGAAAATAATTGATTTAGTTCTTTTTTTAAATTTCGCATAGATTTGATATAATATATTTGATACAAATAAATTATGTTTTAAAAAAAAATATTTGTAGTTTAATATCTGAACAAATTAAACAAATCTTGTCCTATCATTTATTTTTATATTTGATCTGTATTTTGGTAATTTTCCAAAAATTTAACGATATAATTTTTAAATAAAATATTACAAGATTGGCTTGAGATAAAAATTTTATTTACTTTCAAGAGATAATTTTACCATGCACTTCCATGCTTATAACAAAGATTTATTAAAACATAACAAGGACTTTTTCCTTACAATTTTTTTAAATTACCTAAATATCACTCATCTGGCCTGTTTGAAACTTTTTCTTAAACTAATTTAATTTATTTAAAATTTTTAGCACCAACATTTTCAGTAATAAAAGTTGTATTAAAAATATCTGTATATTGGAAGGAGTAAAAATATTTTTTGTATCCATTTAGTTATTTCACTTACCTAAATTTGAGCTGTTATTTTTCTGAATTTTAGATGATACAAACATTGATTTTTAGAAAGAGAATCAATTTTTTAACTGAATTGCAAGCACTTAGCTGCTTCATTGATAGCGTGTTAAAAAAATTATATTAATCAATTAATTATCTAAAAATGTGAAAAAGGCGCTTTTCCATTCAAAATGCATGTTGGATACGGTAAATACAAAATGTGAAGTGAATAGGGAATTTCAATCAAGTGGATTATTTAATTTTATCACTTTCAAATAAATATATACTCTGCAATAAAATAATAAATAACACATTTAAAGGTTTAAAAAACTCTTTATTTTTATTTCATTTTTAACAAAGAGATATAAAAGCAAATTGTCGAAGAAAATTTGTTTCATTTTATTTTATTTAAGTTATTTATATTCAGCAGAAACAAATTTAGCCTTACAAATTTCAGCTATAGATACAAAACTAAGAAATTTAAACAGCTCTTATCCAGTCATTTCTTTTTCCATTTTATGTGTATTTACGTGGTTCTCCAAAACCCTAACAATATCATGTCCATATAAAATGTAACAAGATTAACTTGAGACAGAAATTTACTATTATTCACTATTTGTACTATTTTACAATTACATCTATTATTATTAATCTGCTATTACTATTATTGCATATTATTTTATATACTTTCTAGAAATAATTTTCTCATGCAGTTTAATAACAAATATTTCTTAATATGTAAAATGTACAATTCCCATAAAATTTTTTAAAATGATTGTACAATCATTCTCCTGGCCTGTCTGAAACTTTTTCTTAAACTCATTTAATTTATTTACATGTTTTACACTTACATTAAATGTTTTACATATTTTTGTATCCGTTTTAATTATTTAACTCTTCAAGGTTTATCACTTAAAATTTTTTCCCAAGGATTGCTGTTATTCCCTTGGCCTAGGGAATTTTTCTATAATTTTAGGGGAAAATATGGAATTTACAGTCTTTTCCTTTAGATGGATTGAGAACTTTGAAGATATGATTCACCCGATGTTCTAATAGTTTTGAAGTTCTAAAGTGAGGTGGGTAAAAAATGCTGACATCATTCTCCAACAGTTTTATTATACATGAAAATACATATTTTTAAATAATGCATATTATGATGTGAAGTAATAATGCAAATGTGTGCAAACAATGTATGTAATAATGTGAAGACTGTTAATAGAAGCTTAGCATCAGGTCATATACATAAAAACTATCACACGCCTGTAGTGAAGAACAAATGCTGATTTCTTCAGAATTTTCAAAGCACTTAAGCTTTTATGAATACGTGATTTGAAAATGTGAAATTTTGGAAAATCACCCATCTTATTTTAGTATTTAACTGCCTGTTACATCATGTATGCATGTGCAATTACTTTCGTACCTAACATGAATTTAAGCACTCTGAAAGTTGCTTAATTATTTTATCTGTTCAAATATTTTTACATAAATTAATATAGAAAATAATGAGTACTAAGTCATAATTTAAAAAGTTCTTCTTTAGAATGCTACCAAAAGACTTCCGATATTGATTCCGACTGATTTAATTCAAATTGGAAATGTCTTGATGACCATAATAACGGGATCTTTTTCTGCAAATATATTACATTATGTTAGTGTTAAGTTTTACTTTAATTCCAGATTAGACTCATCATTTTTGTCCATCCAGAATCGTGTAACTGGGCTTAAGTATTTGGAATCGGCAGGTATTACATTCTTTTTCCAACCTGAAAAATAATAACAGCATGTCACACAAAGTAGAAATTATTAAAAGAAAAGTTATAGGAGGTCACAATTTCTTCTGCATCACATGCAATTTACTGTGTATGACAGAGATTTGAAAAGATGGGCTTTGGATAAAGCGTTTAAGAATGATCTTTATGATATCCAAGCCCCTACATATTTTATGATGGATTTCATAACTGACCAATGAATTACGAGTTGTAAGGAGACGCATTTAGCAACAGAACTGAATTTATTTCCTGGGATATTTCTTGAGTCTGTGGTACGGAAAATTCGGGGAAACTTAAAATTCTCTTAAAATTTGAATATATCCTCTTAAATAACTTTCGTTCTAATGATCGGATTGTTACAAACTAAGAGTCAATCTTAATGGTTACCTGGGGTGACCTCAAGTATGCTAATTAATTAGTGCTAAGTATTAATTAAGTTACAGACACAAAGTTACAGACACACGAAATCAGACACAAAGACGTACTTTCTCTGAATAAACATATATTTTTTTACATATTTGGAAACCTGACCCTTGAAATATAGACATTAGATAGACAAAATTGTATGGCGAATTTTTGCATGAAATTATCTTTGGGTAAATGGGTTTTATAAGAGGGTGAAATTTTTTTTTGGAATTGCTTAATTAGTTTCAAAAATATGATTAAAAACGCAAAAAGTGAAATCAACATTAAGGGGTCCGAACATTGAATCGCTCTCCTGACCAAACTATGGGGACCATTTCTCCCAGATTGCGTCTACCCCCTATATTTTGAAAGTTAAGAATTCAAATATGTTTTAAAAAATATATGTTTATTCAGAGAAAGTATGTTTTTGTGTCCGATTTCGTAACTTAACTTACAGTTAGCACTAAATAATTTGCATATTTGAGATCACCCCAGGAACCATTAAGATTGACACTTAGTACGTGTAAAACCGATCATTAGAACAAAAGTTATTCAGGGTGATTTTTTCTCCTTATTTTGCTGACTGTACGTGATCTATGTATCGAATTGTAGGGGTAGACTATACTTTAGGGTGCCCCTTGATTCTTGCCAAGTTGTGATCACGGTATCTTGAAATCCAATTGTGAATCTGATTGGTTTAGACTTAAGCGTTATTTTTAAATGTTCAACTGTGTATGTAATTTCAGAGGTCCGTTAGTTCTACGTTGGATACCGGCTGGTAAGGTTACTTTTGCTTCTGGTCAATAAGATCGAAGGTATGTGGGCAATCATAAAAAGGGACTTAAGAAATAAATGTTACCACCAGTCCGGTACTACTACAGACGCCTTTTTCGATTCGTATTTCGAAGAATTTATGTGGTGATGGAGGCACACAGATTCTATTCGTGATAAATTTAGACAGAATCTAACTGCTTAGAGAATTCTCTACACCTATATCTGAGGATATTCAAGCTTAATGAAGAAGTTAGTTGTTTTTTTTTCCCTTTTTTTTCTGTGCTTACTCCATAAATTTTTGTTTCGATTCCAAAATGCATTTTATTGGGTTCATTAATTTTGCTTATATTGGGTTCATTGCAATGTTAAAAAGTTTTGGCCGATGTTTTGCTGAAATTTTCCGTTGTTTTATTGAAATGTCACTTTGTTTTGGCAGTCATTCCTGTTACCACGGTGTTTCTCGCAAACAGGAATGGCGCCAAAATAAGTCGCCAATTTCGCCAAGGGGCACTCTCAAGTATATTTTTACCTAATTGCAGTATTAGTTTAAAATATGTCCGGAAGCCATTTAATTACACGAACCACCATAAGTATAAGTTCGGAACATTTCAGTATAGTAGGCAGCAGAAATATTAAAGTTATTTCCTTCTCTTTCATGAGATAAGATAGAAAACTCATCCAAAACACCCTTTACGTGCTGTACTACTACTACCTCATCACGCAGCTATCTATCCATAACTTGAGTAATATAATATGACTGCTATTGCTTGAAAAAGGCACCAGTAATTGGTATAACAGCATGCAGCACCTTAGGAGCGTATTACAGCCATTTTAGAAAGGATGAAAAATTTATTCAAATAATTACTTCGTATCTAAGATTCCATTTGTATAAAAATATAAAATCATTCTAAATAAATGCTTGACGTATAACTAACTATTCAACACTACTGAATTTATTATTACTTAGGACAACCTAACAAAAGAAATATAAACAAATACTTAACGCATAATTATTTATAACGCATAACTTTACACTACTTAATTATTACTTAAGACAATCTAACTGAATGAATTATTATTACAGGCTATAGTGTTTCCAATTTAGATGGAGAAATATCTGCGTTTTTGTTTCTAAATAAAAGAAATAAATATATAGGTAATAGCTCTTGATAAGAATAAAAAATATTATTTTGACCGCAAACTTAGGCCCCTTTTATCTCACCAAATGAGCTACAGAGAACATCACAAACTACTTTTGGCACAATTTGATATGATTTAATATTAAGCTATATTTTACCTTATTTATCTGAACACTCAAAAATCTTAATAAATAACTCATTCATAATTAAGATAATTATGTTGCTTATAGATCTAAAAATATCCGTTTCCATTTTATTAAATGTTCAGACTGAAAAATTATTTTAAGATATTTGAAATACATTCTNCCCCAGGAACCATTAAGATTGACACTTAGTACGTGTAAAACCGATCATTAAAACAAAAGTTATTCAGGGTGATTTTTTTCTTCTTTATTTTGCTGACTGTACATGATCTATGTATAGAATTGTAGGGGTAGACTATACTTGAGGGTGCCCCTTGATTCTTGCCAAGTTGTGATCACAGTATCTTGAAACCCAATGGTGAATCTGATTGGTTTAGACTTTAGCGTTATTTTTAAATGTTCAACTGTGTATGTAATTTCAAAGGTTCGTTAGTTCTACGTTGGATACCGGCTGGTAAGGTTACTTTTGCTTCAGGTCAATAAGATCGAAGGTATGTGGGCAATCATAAAAAGGGACTTAAGAAATAAATGTTACCGGCAGTCCGGTGCTACTACAGACGCCTTTTTCGATTCGTATTTCGAAGAATTTATGTGGCGATGGAGGTACACAGATTCCATTCGTGATAAATTTAGACAGTATCTAACTGCTATTAGAGAATTCTGTACACCTATATCTGAGGATATTCAAGCTTAATGAAGAAGTTAGTTGTTTTTTTTCCTTTTCTTTCTGTGCTTACTCCATTAATTTTTGTTTCGATTCCAAAAGGCATTTTATTGGGTTCATTAATTTTGCTTATATTGGGTTCATTGCAATGTTATAAAGTTTTGGCCGATGTTTTGTTGAAATTTTCCATTGTTTTATTGAAATATCATTTTGTTTTGGCAGCCATTCCTGCTACCACGGCGTTTCTCGCAAACAGGAATAGCGCCAAAATAAGTCGCCAATTTCGCCAAGAGGCACTCTCAAGTATATTTTTACCTAATTGCAGAATTTGTTTAAAATATGTCCGGAAGCCATTTAAATACACGAACCACCATAAGTATACGTTCGGAACATTTCAGTATAGTAGGCAGCAGAAGTATTAAAATTATTTCCTTCTCTTTCATGAGATAAGATAGAAAACTCATCCCTAAGTCCCATTACGAGCTGTACTACCTCATCGCGCACCTATCAATCCATAACTTGAGTAATGTAATATGACTGCTATTGCTTGAAAAAGGCACCAGTAATTGGTATGACAGCATGCAGCACCGTATTACAGCCATTTTAGAAAGGATAAAAAATTTATTCAAATAATTACTTCGTATCTAAGATTCCATTTGTATAAAAATATAAAATCATTCTAAATAAATGCTTGACGTATAACTAACTATTCAACACTACTGAATTTATAATTACTTAGGACAACCTAACAAAAGAAATATAAACAAATACTTAACGCATAATTATTTATAACGCATAACTTTACACTACTTAATTATTACTTAAGACAATCTAACTGAATGAATTATTATTACAGGCTATAGTGTTTCCAATTTAGATGGAGAAATATCTGCGTTTTTGTTTCTAAATAAAAGAAATAAATATATAGGTAATAGCTCTTGATAAGAATAAAAAATATTATTTTGACCGCAAACTTAGGCCCCTTTTATCTCACCAAATGAGCTACAGAGAACATCACAAACTACTTTTGGCACAATTTGATATGATTTAATATTAAGCTATATTTTACCTTATTTATCTGAACACTCAAAAATCTTAATAAATAACTCATTCATAATTAAGATAATTATGTTGCTTATAGATCTAAAAATATCCGTTTCCATTTTATTAAATGTTCAGACTGAAAAATTATTTTAAGATATTTGAAATACATTCTTAAGCTTTCATCCATTCTAAATTAAAGTCCTTTATAAGCGGCAAAACATGTTCGTGGATTATTACAGTTGATTAAAACCAGAGAATAAATAAAAAGTTTAAATGTATTCATGCTTAAAAATGTTAAACGATAATAATTCATTGCTCATGAAAGCAAGTTAATATACTTACCACCCGTAATTAAAACAGCAAAAATTGTGAGTAAAATTGTCAGAAGAAATCCAACGAAAGAATACCACATAAATGTCATTTTGTAGAGTACAAAGGGATCTCTGAAATACAAATTCCTTACTGTTTTTATTATGTTTATATTGAAGTCAACTTATTTAATATTTAACCAATATAAGTTTTAAATGACAATACTTTTGGAGTGCAAAATGAGTATGCTTTATGAGTGCAATACTTTAATAGTTAATGACAATACTGTAAGAGTGCTTTCACCAACCTGGATTTAAGTCAAAGTATAGTTTTTTTTCCTCTTTTTCGTAATATTTTTAATAATTTTTTGATGATAGAATTATAGTTCGACAATAATTTCGAAAATGTTAGAAGTAAGACGTTTTTTTTATAACACTGAGAGAAACAGCTCGTTGCACTATAAATTTTCCGGATTTTTTCTCAAAAGCTTAAAACTACAAAATTAAGAGATTATTAATTCTGGAAAGTTTATTTTATGCTGTACATTTTTTAAGAAACTTTTATTCGTGAAAACATATTTTAACGTATAATATACGAAGACAAAAATATTTTGAGATCTCTAAAATACGGAAACATATAGTTCTGGATGGCATTTTGGAAAATGCTGATTGTAGAATTATATTTTCATTATTTTATAAGAAAAATATTATTTAAAATTAGAATACTGCTCACTAAAACTCTTAATTTATTAATGGATGGCTATCTTAAAGGTTCATATTATTTGAAGGATACTTAGAGTAAATATCAATCTTTTTTTTGTGGAAATTAAATAAAAACGATTAAAAATATATTTAACTCGTTTCTCTTTCGAAGAATCTTTCTCCGGGTTATATTTATAAACCCATGAAAATTTCATATGAACGCAATTTTCTTTGCCGTATATAACTAATATTTAGTATATATTGTTTTTCGAAAAGAAAAAAAAATACATTGATAGATATTCTAATAAACTTTATTACCTTGTTTCAAGCTATAACGTTGTATGTATTTTTAAAATTTTTAAACTGGTAGCTTTTTCTATGAATATAATAAAATAAAAAGTATTCATTAGCAATGCTTAATAAACAAGAAACGCACACGCACATTCAATTAATTATCTATAGGTAAATACGGGGGAAGGGATATATGTTACTTTATGTCTGATGTTGGCCTTTAAAAAGAATATTTAATTCACAAATTTTTGTTAAACATAAGTTTTTGAATTAGCATTTTAAAGGATAAAAAGTGAAACTATAAAAAGTGAATTATTTGTTAATCTAAAACTTTTTCCGTTTTTTTTCCGTTACAGTTTAATCCAGAATTAAAGAAAAGTTTCTCCAAATAACCAGTTGTTTGTCAAGGTAATTGAATATGTTAAAACTCCACAATTTGGAGACTACCATCCTGTTGACGACAGTGTAGTAATCATTAAACACAGGCCGGATGTTTTGAGCAGACAATGTAATATAAATAGATTTGAAGCAGTATGGACTTCAAGCCGCGACCGGAAGTAAGACCTCAACAATGGCAGCTCAATGCCGTTTTCACAGTTCTTACTCGAAAGTTAGCATGAAGTATACATTTCTAGAAGATTAAAAAATGACTGTTTTGAATATTAAGCTTTTAAAGCAAATAATAACTTCTAAAAAAATTATTCAAACTTACTTTTCAGTATTTGGTGGTGGTAATAGTGATGAGGATACATTAAAAATACTTTCAGACATTGTTTCATTTTGTGATGAAGGACACATGCTATTGCTTAGAGGTAATGTAGGTTGAACATATCTGGCATATAGAGAACTTAAGGCTATCCAGGTCATTATTATATAAGTCACTACTGCAGCAAAGGAAATACACTGAAATTAAATAAATTCATATTATTCTACCATTATATAATTAATTTTTTTAAAATTTAAACATTTAATTTTAATTTTATTTTTTAAATTATATGCTATGAACATTGATATGAATATGCATGAATATTTACATTATTTAACGATTGAATTTTAAAATTAGTTTTAGATGTTTTGATAATTGCTCCGATTGAATTGAATTTTGATTTGCTCAGATCTGGGGCCCTTAAGGAACTCACTGATTTCTCAAAGTATTGGGAAGCAAGAGAACTTTTAGGGTAATGAACTCGGTCTTGTTTTGTCATCTCATGTACATATTAATACTTTTGTATCTCTTTTAGACACTTATACTTTTTGCCTTGCCATTGGAAATAAAAAGAAATGTTTTGATAACATAATACTTAGTAATATATACCTAAAATAGGTTAAAACTATAAATAAGTTGAGAAAATCAAACGCTTAGCGAGAATGTGCTGAAAAAACCTTTTGCAAACTTTGAATGGTGTAAAAGCAACGTTTTCTTTACAAGTTGTTTTTAAGTTATTCCTAATGTGAAAACAATGATATGGGCACTAGCTAGCAAGATAACTCCATTTAAAAAATTATATGCACGCAAAATTATAATAGCAAGTATGTAATATATGTAATGCCCTGTGTGCAACAAATAAATATATGAAATGAATTCCAGAATAACTTTTGATCTAATCATAGGATTTTCACTTCACAGTTAGAAATGTCTCGGCAAAATGGTCAAATAGCAATTTTTTTATTGTTATTTTTCCATATTCAATCAAAACATTCAAATAACCATAAAAAATATGATTTTCAAATTGTTATGAGTGAAGAAAAAGAACTTCAATGAATTTTTTTCCTAATACGGAATCCAGAGTTTCACTCGACAACCAATTTCAATAACAACCAGAATTTCACTCGCGCTAACTAGGCCCACCTTATGAAGTTATTTTGCTCCGGGCAGTTGGGCACATAGCCTAGCTGAGAGGGCTAATCCGTCTATCTCATGACCGGCTGAACAAGGGTTCAAAGCCCAGTGTTGATGCTGCAATGTTCCTTTCATTCTTGAAATACATGAAGAGTTTCCAGTGTCTTGCACTCTTCAATTAGTGACCCTGAACTACAAGCATACCTAACGATCATTCAAGCATAAATGGTGCAACCCCCACAGTTACAACGCATTTAGTTTTCAGTACAATGTGTTTCTATTAGCAACTGTTCTTTCCATTTTATTCAGAAAAAGCCTAGCTCACCAAATCTAAATTCTCTAGAGGCATCCTATGTTCTTGCACAAAGAAAAATTCGATTAATTTCTTACTTAACAAAAAAGTCTGACACGTTGCTTTGAAGAACATATACAAACTAATTCTGGAGCAAATTTTCCAACTAGAAAATAAAATAATCACGATAGCACTAAAATACATCAGCAAATAATAAATCTAGCTTATATAAAGGATGTTAGCTCAGAACGCTTAAATAACACTGATTAAACACAGTTTTAATTAGTATTGATATCTTACTGATATTCGCAATACGCTTACATTAAAAATTTAAAACAAAAGTAAGAAATTGCCTACTTTCTAGTATATCGAAAATTTGTTTGAATGTCAATTAAAAGATGGTCAAGATGGGGATAATCAAACTTCATAATACTTAACAGTTAAAACAAAGCGACATCTGTCAATATCTATAAAGTAATGGACGTGGCTAAAAAATATAAAGTTTCCCATAAATAGCCTATTTTATGAATCTTACAGAATGAAACTTACTTTGTCACCAGCTTTTCTTGTCAGCATTCCAAAGAGAAAAACTGCACAAATAATACCTTGAGGTAAGGTATTAAATACTTGAGTCAAATGGCGAATACTGTCTGCTTGTTGAAAAGCAAAACTCAAACCAATGCATAGTCCACCATAGATAACAGCTTTTAAATAAAAACAAATTGTAGAAACTGAAAATGTTTTCAAATGAAATAAACGAAAAGTATCTAAGTTTTGAAGCAATATATCTTTCGATTTACTTAAGAAAATAATGTTATAAAATAACACTATCTGCATTTTTTTTGAAGTTTCTGTTAATACCTTTTTAAAATCATACTGTGAGGACTGATTCATTAATCTTCAATCAAAACGAACTTTGTGTTCGAGACCATATACAAGTATTATTAATATATTAATTATACTAGTTATTTATAACTGTATTACTATGTTAGTTATACTGGTTAATTATGTATAATATATCACTTAATATACTAAATTGCTAATAATGCAAGGCTTGCAAAGGGGGTAAATTTAAGCAGCATTTACTTTGATATTTAATAAACTATTAATATTTATTAGAAAATTTGTACATATATTTGTAAAGGTATTTGCAATAAACTATTGAATTAAATAATTAATTATTTTTAAATTAATTAATTAATTAATTTGCATTAATTAATTAGTTATATGCACATACTTGAATACCTGCCACCATAAAGGCAGCTTCCTGAACGAGAACATCATGCAATACTGACTATCAGTCATAACGCCTCGGGTCACATGCAATTCTGAGCATCAAAAACTAAGTCGAAAAGTACAAGCACCGAGAAGGAGCACAAGCACCGGAATTAAAACAAGGTGGCTGTTCAATTTAATCTCAGCCGACAGCATCATATGAGCAATCACATCACAACTCAAGAGTAAGGCCCTCTGGCCGAAAGTTAATCGCAATGCACCAAAATTCATTTAAATATATTGAATCGCATTCAGAATTTATTTAAATAGATTATTTTGTTAAGAAAACTTTAATCGAATAGTTTCTGCTCGTATAATATTAATGAAGTCTTGAGATACTTACACACAATTTTTGCCATTAGAATGATTTTCAAATCAGAAATGTTCCACTTTCTGAAGATTGGTATTAAATAATCTATGACTGTCACGGTTGAAGCAGAGTTTAGACACGAAGAAATAGTACTCAGAGAAGCACTGAAGATACCAGCTATGCAAAGACCTGTCAGTCCTGGATAAGAACTAAATCTTGTTACAATGTAAGCTGGAACAATCTAAAAAGAGATTAAAGTACAAACATTTTACTCTTACTTTCGTTACGAGTAACGAGATTAAAAGTATTGCCATGTAGGGGCAAGAAACAGTGAGAACCAGACAGAACACTTACTGCGCCACTGTTTGAGAAAAGAGATGCTTAATTCCCACAATGATATCGTTTAACTTAGCACCATATAGAGGTAGTAGTAAATTTAAATGATATTGTATTTTAACACATAGCAAATTTTCGTGTGGCGTTGAAAAAAAATTACGTCTATCAGAAAAAAAATCACGTATATTAGAATAAAAATAATAGATGGTTGTTGATATGACTTACTTTACTTAATTCTCTTCGCACCATTTGGCGCATAAATCCACAAGTTTGGCATTCCATCATTATCGGTCAAGAGCAGCTTCGGTCAAGAGCACTTTCCTTACTCGGCTATCCCAGGATATTTCCTTTCTTTGTAATGATTTGTCAGCAGGTTAGCTTCGACTAGCTTCCTTTCAATTTTTTCGATATTGAAATTGATTTTTAGTATGTTATATTTATAATATATTTTTAAAATATTTTTGAATAAAGTAAAATTGCCAAGTCTAGTTAAGTTGACCAGTTTTTTTTTAAAATTTTAAGTAGAATTTACTAGTAGCAAGCACATTATAAATAATAAAACATAAATTAAAAGTGAGTTTACTAGTATCAATAAACATTAAACAATTATAAATATTATTTTCTTATGCTAAGAAGCAAAACTGTCTCATTATAGTATTGGAAAAAAAATAATAGTGTTTTAATTTATTTTGAGTGTTAAGTTATTATAAGCACATTTTTCGCAGGTGGCTGGGATAGCCTATCTGGTACATTCGAGAAGTAGAAAGTTTGATCCCAACTAGCCGGAGGAGACTGGTGCATCTTTAATCTGTTGGGGACACAAAGTACTCCTAATTCACATAACAAATCAATACCTCTAGGAGATGGGGAAGATTGATTTTCTTTGACATTTAATTGCGGGGAAGCTCTTATAGCGTAAAGGGTGATCACGCCTATGTCTCACCCATTGAGCTAAGAGCTTCCCCCGCAGTTTCAGAATTGAAACGAATGCAAATACTTTTAAAGCTTGTTTATTTTACTTCAAAAAATAATCAATAACAATCCTAACTATGCTTAGAAGCATAAAAAAATAATAAAATTAAAATAAACGAAAAGCAAATTTTCACTGCTTTGAAAATCCTCGCAAAGGCTCTAACAATCGTCCTGGTGACGCCTTATTGAAATGTTTTAAAGATAAAATATGATGGATCTCAATACGCTTAAATGCTGATAAATAAGTAGCTCAACACTTTGTAATGATGTAGAAAACCTGGTGTAGAGAACGAGTTATTTCGTTCTTAGCTCAGAGCGAATATTTCTGGAAGAAGAGTTGTCTCATACACCGCGACTTAAGAAAATATCTTATAATTTGTGTCCAGCAGATTCGAATATTTATAGACATTTAATGTCTGTAGCATGCATATCCCGAAAAAAATGTAAGGACCAATAGATTTTTTTAAAAAGTACATTATGTGTACGAAAATAATGATAAAAATGTAACATTATCGTAAACTTTAACTCAAAAATGGATTGCGTGGCTCAAAGAATATAATTTAGTTTGAAAGAAAGTCTTACTTCTATAATTATCAGCATAAGAGTATATTATTATAGTTTATATTAGGAGAATCGTTCTGGTTCATATGATATTTGTTATCAGGATTTTATTTTCAATCAATAATGCATTTACCCTAGTTAGTGATGCAACCTTTCACAGCTGGATCGAAAATTAATCGAAACAGATCGAAAAAAATTCATTGGTTTTTAAGACTAAGGAATATTTTTTTAATTTTTTTATTTCCAATGGCAAGGCAAAAGGTACAAATAGAAAGATGGGGATATTTAATGCGCCGTAGCGACATTACTTTTCGTTCCAACTAACAGTATTTCTATAAGTATATTATTATATTATATAAAAGTATTATTAATGCTATTTCTTTTAAATGTTTTTTGTTGTTATTTTAATAATATTTTACTATATTATATTGCTATGTATAATAACAGTTTAAATTGTCATGAAAGCATTACATCCATTTGTTTAATTTACTTTCTACATTTGGTACTTACTTGATCATATTTTCTTATTCCTGTTCTCTCTTTATTTAAGATTGGATCACAATTATAATAAACACCATATAACACAAGTCCTAAGAAACAGCATGCTGTGTACATGAGACACACTGGGAAGCTACTCATTCGAAGTGATCTATAAATATTTAATGACATATTTGGATAAAAATATTCTGCATTTTATTTTAAAATTTAAAGGCAGAAATGGGAAAAGTATAAATAGGAAATAATATCATTGAAAAATAAATTGCATTATATCATTGAATAGAATATCAAATAAAGTTTTATGAAAAGAGATTTGATTTACGAAAATTGTTTAAATTTCCCGATTCAAAGTTAAAGAATTAAATTTAATTTTCAAAGATTCAAAGTTAATTTTTAAACCTCTGTTAACAGTTTAAGAATCATTAAAAGGTTTTACAGTGTGGAATGATAAAATGGATCGTAGACAATTACAGCTTTGTTGTTAAATAAGTAATAATAGATAAATTTAGTATTATTTTATTACGATGAAAACGTTCCTTTTTATGTTTAAATATTTTTCTTACAAAAAGGGAGAATCGTGGAATGTATAATTCACAATTTGTTTAGATTAAATTGTCAAGATTTTAAATGGTGGGAATTTTAGATTGGTGATAGAAGGACAATTAATTCTACTTTAAGTTACCATAAAACTATTAAAACATGTGTAAAATTGATGTAATACATTTTTCAAAATCAGAACAAGATATATTTTTCGAGATCAGGATAGAATTTTCGTTGCAAAACATTACAATTGACTGTAATATGTTCCTAGCTATTATGCTGCCATCTAGTATATATACTGAAAATATGAAAAGTACATATTTGGAAGCAATCAACTATTAATTTTTGCAATTTTGGTGTGCAGTGTGACGTGTTTTTTGCAACTAAAACACACAAAAAACATAGCTCAATACAGTAAACATGATTTTGATGCGAGATCAGAAAACGTTACATCTTTTTGACAATTTTGAACTGCTCATCTAGGTTCTGTAATTACGATAGAACCAGAAACTTATGAACTAATGCATTTGGAATTCAGTATCAATTCGAATTGGCATTTGATAGTTATTTCTGAAACCTATAAAAACATATTCATATGATCCACACTCAATGTTTTTAGATCGTTACATACATACGATTTTGCTCGTTTAATGCTACTGAGACTGAGTAATCTTTGTACTTCAACTTGGTTTGTTCCAAAAAAAGACACTCCAATCAATATTCCTTGAGTTGCGCATGCCCAAAATCCATACCTCCTGGTTATATCTGGCATGAACCTGTAATGTTACAAAAATAAGACAATGCCGTATGCGATGAGTTTGATAAATATGAAAACATTCTTACTCGAATAAGTCCAGTCTTTTACCAATTGCAGCTTTTTGAAAGAGTTCAGTAATACCACCTGCATCACCGATACCTGCTATGTAAATTGCTAATAAACAAGTTACCATTAAAATAGCTTGAAAACAATCCGTCCACAAAACAGCTTTAAGTCCACCCTAAATATTAAAATTATTACATAGATATTAGCTATTATGCACGAAACCGACTTCATTCATATTTTTCTGTACTATCAGCCCATCTTATTGAGGAAGCAACTATGGCACACCTAATATGGTGCACCCTGAAAGCGTGGTCAACACAGCTGAACTTCTGATAGCCGAATGACCAATGCCCACATATGAGTGAACAATGAAAAATAAGCTTGTATGCAATGATTGCGCCCCTTGGACCTTGTCATCAATTTGAAAACTTATAAATAGACGCACTCCTTAATTAAAATTGCACATTTTTTGAAGCTTTTAAGAAAACTATGAAGAAAATTTTTAATACATAATTATAAATTTTACATATGATAATGCATTTTTATGTCTCTAGGTTATGAAGCAACTGAGCAAGTAGAGTTTTAGAATTCTGTGTGATAATCATACGCAATTTGTTCTCAACATTAAAACATAGATTAATCAGGATGGTTCGCGAAAATTCCAAATATCTTCAGTGTCACTATTGAAAAGATACGTAAAAGGCTTTATAACGCCATGATAGCTGTAAGCGTTAAATGCGAATAATGTTTTGAAGCATAAAGAATTTTACGTCTCAGAAATGACCTCCAGGGTACACGTGGCGACCAAACCGCTTCCTTTAGATTTGTCAGTGGGCATACAAAGAGCTTCACTTTCAGTGGACAAATTAAACTTTTTCCAACTTGTAAAAAGTGCAACTCCAGCGGAACTAGTCCTCCCCATCTACTTGATTGCCTGGATTTCACCATGGAAGAGGTTCTTGAGAGACCTCTCCTTTTGAGACTCACGGCCTCATGGATCTGGTATAGCTCCGCTATACCAGAATTGAAATACCCTTTAAATACGAAACTATAAATATATATAAGAGCAATAAAAATATTTTATTTATCCATATTTGCATTTTGTGAAATTTAATAATTATTCATCGATTGTATTGAATGTGTTGCTGTGCAATAAATATAAAGTATTCCAGTATAAGCCCGCTGAGAGCCAGGGAGGACAAGGAAGTTCCTAAATTTCTAGACCAACGACATGATTTATAACGAGTTCAGAATTAACGTTTGCTTCCCAAACAAACTGTCTCCAAACGATCTGAAACTGCATGGGCTTCAAGCCGCTTCTTGGGATAGATCGCTAGTCCTTCGCTACAATAAGTTTACGCATTCAAATTATTTTTTTAATGGATTAATAATAGTTCGTTGCAAAAGATAATTGCGATAAGTTTGATAAGTTTGCGATAAGTTAGATAAAAAGATAAGTTTAGCCATGATAAATTTAAATAAATAAATTAAGATTGTAAATAGTAATTTCCATTTAATATAATGAAAGAAAGAAAACGTTACTGGAAAAACAAGTTATAAAATTTAATATTTCTGAAAATCATGAATCAATTTAAAAACCAGTCTCACCAAGGAACAATAAAAAGCACAAACAGCTCCCAAGGACACAATGGACACTTCAAAAGACAAGTCTGTAACAGCACTCAATGCCAAAACTGCTCCATAAAGAGATATGGACATGTAGAAAAGCTAAAAGAGATCTTAAATTAAAAATTATTTTCTTCATTCGTTTTGATGCAATACAAATATTCATTCTTACCGTCTGCAGAAGAAACATAACAGACACCAGATATCTAATGATTCGTCCATATCGCATTTCAAGGTACTAGAAAATTAATTTTGAAAATTATTAAAAGCAAAAATTTTTAGATATAAATGTTTTTTTTATTTTTTACAATTCTTAATTATAAGAAGCATATTCATTGAACCGCATTGATTGGTACAGATCAAAGAGTACCATTTTTAATGCGTACCATAGTTGAAAATTTTATATAAGTAATAATATTTAATTTTGGTTTGTATTTTCCATTTTGACTTTGTCTTTAGAGTTTGTAATTTCGCTTTAGATTTAGATTTTTTATTTAGCTTTGTAATTAGATCTATAGTTCATGTAGATCAGGGGTTTCCGACTTACGTGTGGCCGGGAACCGCGATTAAAAACGCCAATCAAATGGCGGGCCGCAACTTTATCAAAATTATATATAGGACTCTTTTATGTTTGTAGGAACATTAAATATTACTGTCAGATATTTATCAAAGTTTTTTTAATACCAAAAGCAAAATAACAAGTATTACAAATCATTTGATAAATTAAAATTTTTTCGACTATATAGGAATTACAGAAACAAAACAAGAAATTCTCGGGAATCTGAAATTAAATTTTTTTTTCTTTTCCGCTCATGCGATATTCAATTCAAGGAATTTAATTAAAAGATGATATTCATTCCCTCTTTTATGCAATTTAAAATTTACAAATGTAAGTAATTTCGTCCAAAATGAGTGGTTTCAAGAAGTTATATGGGAGAATTTCTTTGCGAAAATTTCTGATACGCACATGTTAAATTATATTCACAAAATACAAAAAAAAAGAAAAAAGAGCAACATACACAATCATTTTTTCGACTATTTAGGAATTACAGAAACAAAACAAGAAATTCTCGGAATCTGAAACTAAATTTTTTTTCTTTTCCGCTCATGCGATATTCAATTCAAGGAATTTAATTAAAAGATGATATTCATTCCCTCTTTTATGCAATTTAAAATTTACAAATGTAAGTAATTTCGTCCAAAATGAATGGCTTCAAGAAGTTATATGGGAGAATTTCTTTGAGAAAATTTCTGATACGCACATGTTAAATTATATTCACAAAATACAAAAAAAAAAAAGCAACATACACAATTTTGTATTTGAATAAATATTTTCTTGGGTGCAAAACCTGAGAAATATTTTTTTGCACCGTTGGTATGTTAAATTTAACAGAAACGAAGAAATTAGGATTTTTTAAACGAAAGAAAAGTACTTCAAACCATATAGATTTTTTACGAAAGTTGTCGGCAAAAAAACGACAACTAATATATTTAAGTTCGCGGGCCACAAAAAGAGGCCTCGTGGGCCAACTGCTGCCCGCGGGTCGCCAGTTGGTAACCACTGATGCAGATCAATAAAATTATTATTTCAAGAAAGACCTTGAGAAAATAATTGTAAAAAATAAAAACTGCAGAAATTTTCTATATTTTCTACTCTGGTGAAATTTAATATATTTAAAATCTGCTAACTTAAACCGTATAATTGTATATTTCGAACTATATTATTTGATATTCTAGTTTAAAAGGAGCGGAAGCATGATTAAATTTAACACCTCATTGAGGTAGTATCAAATTTGTACCCTCAAGTACCGATATTATGGTTCATTTAACTATGGATTTTTGAGTGAAATCTTAGAGAAATATTAACAGTTAAATGTCAAAGGGGTGAAAGTTTTTTGTTTGTTTTCATAGTCAAATTCATGAACTTAAATAGAATAACTGAGATAATGATGAAGATTTAATGAACGACAAACTTGTTTTTCTGAAATTTCTTAGGAATGAATATATCAATACACTGGAAATGGAAAACCGAAGGTACAATTTCAACCAGAAATAAGAAAAATCACAATGTGTCGCAGTTGGTGAATGTTTTGCCAAAAATACTCGATAAACAATGGCGTCGCTATCAGAATTTCGGAGTAACTTGGAAAAATTATGTAAATGCACTGAAAAATTTCATTTTATTGTTTTTTTCATTTATTTTCGTAAATAAGCAGTTTTGAAATTAATTAAAAGATTTTTCTCAATATTATTTTTTTATATAAGTCAAAAGGAATGATATAAAAATACGCTTGGAACAAAATTACTGTTTTATTTAAACACAAATTTATCAAAGTGTATAAACATTTACAGAGAGTAGCGATATTTTGGGATTAAATTCTATAACTTTATATATAAAAATTATCATTATGCTTTTAACATAAACTATATAACATACTGTAAATATGTTGTTTTGTAACAGTATTTTTGGAGTTCAGCTAAAATTGAAAAAATTTTTTAATAAAAAACAAGTTATCCGTTGATGTAATTTGCTTTCTAGTTTACAAATGAAGAGTTCGACTTGAAGTAAGATATTTGAAAGCCACACTTTTCCAAAAGTGACATTTTTAGCTCCAAAACTTTTCCTTAGTGTTGTTTCCATATAAGTACTTTATCAGTTGTCTTTTTTCTTTAAAATTTTTAAAAGATAACACCATTAATTCACTGACATATACTATTACAGGGTAGTCACTGCCCAGAAAACTTATATAACTGGTTGATAAAGATCGAGAAACAAAATGTTTTAATCTCATTGTTATCAACTGAAAGTTTAGCAAATTAAACACCAGTGATATAACTCTGGCCAACTGAATTTTCAAAATTGACGTAAAATCAAATTCACGATAACTTAATAAAATTTTTCCAGACTACCCAAGTCAAAATGATTGATGGTTCTCCATTGATGGACCAACATAATCTTGATATTAACGTTAAATAATTCCATCATGAGAACCATTATATTTTTGATAATAACCAACATAAGTAACCATCTCCTTAAAGTAGGAATGCGGACTGATTTATGATGGACCAACAAAGGAATAGCAACATGTTTTGATGGTTTGTTTAACCATCAGAACCATGTTGAACCATCAAAAATTCCCATTAAACCTTCAAGGAAATGTACAGTTGGAACCATCATGGACCATCACGGGTCATCATGGATTGATGGTCCATGAGAATCAAACTTCTTTTGATGGTTAACCATCATAGTATTAAAATAGCATTTTCCATCATGAAATGATGAAAGTTTGTTGGCATAACAAAAACCATGAGGGCATGATGGAAAATGTTGGATGATGGTGACCATCAAATGATGCTGGACCATCATGAATGGCACGGAAAGCAACATAAACCATCAAAATTTTTTGATGGTGTCATCAAGAATTTTCACTTGGGTACTGTGAGATTTATAATTATATTGCCTTAAGCTCTTACATTTACTTCTCATTATCAATTTAAAAACAAAAACTTCATTTCAAAAATTTCAATTTCTTACCTCAGTTATGCTTGAGACTTCACAATTGAAATACACTGGTATGATAACGCTTGATGATATAAGCATTCCTATGGGTACCATAAAAGTAACGACGGAAACAGCAATGCCATATTTGTAAACTTCAGCTGGCGATGAAAGGAAGGAAGACGTGGATGTAAGAGTAACAATGATAGAGAAGATGACTGGATATTTTGGCATGTTTCTTCCCGCCAACAAATAATCCGAGGCTATTTTCTGCTGACCTTTGAAATACCTTGCACATAACCCTATCCCAGCTGATAACAAAAGTGTCAAAGAAATAATAACATAATCGGCAACACCAAGACTGTATTTCTTAAACATTTTGATTTCTTTGTCGGATTTCAAACTTTTGTGATTTGCTATAGCTTATTAAATGCGGTAAAAAGAATCTTCTCGTAATCAAACGCATTCAGTAATAAAACACTGAAAAGAAATTATGTTCATTTAAAGGCGATTTATCTTCGTAAATACATGTCATTTCTCATAATTATTACTGTCTTATTCTCATTAAGCGTTGTTTATAATGATAGCACGTGACAGAAAATGCTATAAACTATGAACTCTAAGAAGGTAACTTTTTCTATTGCTGTTTTTTATTTATTTTTTATTTCAATAATTAATATGTCTTGAATTTGAATCTCAGTTGAGAGAATAAATATCTATTGTGCGATGTTAAATCGTAATTGATATGTTCTAGAAATAGTATTAGTTATTTGAACCAGAGTACTATAAATTTAAAAAAACAGACAAACTACTATTAAGGCAAATATTACAGTAAAATGCAATCTCTACACTACTATTCAAAATTAACAGTAAACAGTAAAATTAACAGTAACACAGTAAAAGTGATCTATATTAATATAAGGAGTGGTTTTCATCTCCTCCATTTTGTATCGAAAACCAGTTTTTTGATACATTTTAAAAGTTTACGTGATGGGCTGAAATTGAGGTTAGTGCGTTATCTTCTTTAGCGGGTTACAAGAATTGAACCGTGTCAATAACTGATTGGTTATTTTTTTGATGAAGTGTCATCTCTCATTTTTTTTATATACTGTACATTTATTCAATAATTATTGAACTTTAGTTTGGAACTTAATTTAAATGATATTACTCTGAAGATTTCTACGCATGAAAAATTTTATATATCTCCATATTTTTTCAAAATAATGCCAGGCCTATCTATACTAATGCAGCAGAAGAGAATATTTGTAATATTTTTAATTAGTTTCATGTCTTGTATACTTTATTGAACAGTAAGACATTTTTTTCTCATGTATTCAAATAAATAACAAAAGCTGCTTTTCTAAATAATCACATATTTATCAAATTATTTTAAGCCATTTCATGAAGTAGTTATTTTATGATTTGTTTTCTCAATTATTTTTAGTTAGAAGTAACTATTAAGCTTCCTCAATTCCTAAATTTGTGCTGCTATCCTTCTTTTGAAATTTCGTCTATGCAAAGATTGGCTTATAGAAATAAATTTGATTTTTAAATTGAATTGTGAATACCTAACTGCTTCATTAAAAGAAATTAAGTTAACAAATGACTTTATTAAAAATAAATTAAATTGAAAGAAAATAAATTATATAACCTTAAAATGTAAAAAAGACTTGTTTATTTGAAATACATATTTGATTCGGTTTTAAAATATCAAATACAAACGGTATAGAAAGTTAGGAAATCGAATTAAACAAATTATTTCATTTTATACCTTTAAAATAAAGAAACTTTACAATAAAAAAATCGATAATCTATTGATAAAAATAATTTTTATTTACTCACATTTTAGGAAAAATATATAAAAATAATTGATTTAGTTTTTTTAAATGTTGTATATATATAACACTGGGGGTTCTGCGTTCGGCTGACCACCTGACCGGAACATATGCTCCCGCACCCCAGAGCCCAAGGTCAAGAAAACTGAGATGGGCACAGTCGGCCTTGGCCCTCTTAATGGGCTGTCGCGTCACTGAGTTAGTTTTATATATTTGATATAATATATGTGATCAAAATAAATTATGCTTTAAAAACATTTAGTTGTAGATTTATATTTAAACAAATTAAATAGATCTTGTCATATTATTTATTTTTATATTTTATCTGCATGTGAGTAATTTTCAAAAACTTAACAATATCATTTTCAAATAAAATATAACAAGATTAGCTTGAAATAAAAATTTACAATTTTATATAATTTCAAGAAATAATTTTACCATGCACTTTCATGTTTATATTAGAGATTACTTAAAGCGTAACAAGAACTCTTTCCTTAGAAAATGTTTTTTTCGAAATTACTTAAATGACACTCTTCTGACCTGTTTGAAATTTTTCTTAAAGTAATACAATTTATTTAAAATTTTTGCATCAAATTTTTAATAATTTAAGCAGTATTAGTCATTTCTGTATATTTGAAGGTGCAAAATAATACTTGTTTTAATAATATTTCCATTTAATTATTTCACTCACCAAATTGTATAATTTAAAAATTTGTTCATAGGTTTCCATGTCAGTTACTTGACCTAGGTATATCTTTGATTATTTTAGGAAAATATATGGAATTTACAGTCTTGGTCCTGCAACACTGTTCAGTCCCACAGTGGACTGATTGGTAAGTCACGGTATCCAGTAGAACACCACAGCTAAGTAGAACTGGCTGTGATCAGCATGCAGTGGATGACCACATTGATGAGCCAACAAAGGGACCGAGGGTGTGTGGTATCTGTCCTCGTTAAACTATTCTACCCTAGAAGTGCTCGACTTTGCACGCAGGTCGTCAGGCTACCGTAACAGGGGAGCAATCACCTCTCAAAATTGCGATGGCCTGTCTTCGGGTTACCCTCTGGGATGTTCTGACCATTGCCAATAGCCCATAGTGCAGCTCTAATGTTAGGTAAACCACTGACAACAACAACAAAATTTTTTCTTCTCCCATTTTTTTGCATTGATGGAGTGCTTAAAAAATTTGATTCACTCGATGTTCTTATAGCTTTGAAGTTCTAAAGTGATGCGTGTGAAAGATTCTGCTTTCATTCTCATGAAAAGAGTGCAAAAAAATAAACGGACCACTTTACATGACAACCTTTGATCTAATGATTGAATCAGGGATGGACAAAACTATTGCCCGCCGGCCAACTGCGGCCTCCCGGATGGTTCTATTCTGCCCGTGGATAGAATTTTAACTTGCCGATGCGTTGCGAATATAAATAATATACATTATACATCCATTTTATATTCGAAGATACAAAATGAAATTTGTTACAGATCTTCTTTGTCATATGAACAACTTGAATGCTAAGATGTAAGGAAAAATCAATTCACTGATGATATCTGGGCCCATCTCAAAACTTCTAAACTAAAGCGTAATTTGTTTGCAAGGCAGCTAGTTAAGAACGACTCGTCTCCTTTCTCGAAGTTAAATTCAATACCCCCAGTAAATAAGAAAAAGCTTAAGAATTATGAGGATGGCTTGAAAAAACTTTATTTTTAGTTTCGGGTATCAATATTTCAGTGTCATAAACAGAGTTAGATATATTTGCCATGCCTTTCAACGTAAATTGTGAAACAGTGAGGCTGGATTTGCGGCTTAAATTAATTGAATTGCAATCTAACAATCATCTGAAGCAGTTGTTTCTAAATGTGGCTAAGTTTGAGTTTTAAAAATCATTACCAAAAGCTAGTTTTCCAAATTAAATAACTCGTGCCGGAAAATCAATGCTATGTTTTATTCGTCTTATTCGCGATCGCAACGATATAGTACGCCCTCTAGCAGGAGCCTGAAAACATCAAATATGAATTTATTAACATTTCATTTAGTTCCATCAAAATCATTGACAGAATCAGACGCTTTTTAGCAGCAAATAAGAAGCAAAATTTCCCTAAGGGAAAGGCTGAAGAACTTGAAAAAACTCTCCAGATTATTAATAAATCTTTAAGGAACAGAACACGCCAAACATTTGAAGAAAAATTCCTCAATAATTTTTAATTTCAACTATCAGCAAACATGCAACTGATGACTTCCGATTTCAGATACTGTTACATATGTGCGTAATACGGTAAAAGACATTTTTTCTGTCTTCAATTCTTTACAAATCAAAGTGAAGTCAACATTGATTTCTTCATTCCAATGAATAAATGTAAATTCAGAACTGTAATAGTTATAGAATATTCTTCTTCGTTATAGAATAGTATATATTTCTATATATAATTCGGAAAACAACAATAAAAAATCACCCAAATTACTTGAAATAGTGCCATTTGTGATGATTATTAATAAAATTTTATCGTTTTCTTGGTTACTATTTTTTAGTTTTGAAAGAATAATTTCAACTAGAATTCAGCTACTCTGTTTTTAAGCTGCATAGTAAAATTCATATCGAGATCTTACAATTATAATATTTTGCTGTGTGGTATGTTATCTAGAAGTAATGAAGTTATAATCTTTGCATATATTATTTGAAAATAAAATTTTCAAACGAAGAACATTTCATTTGGAATTCTCCGGATTTATAAAGAAGGTGAGTGTTATGATTTTTATAATAAAAAATGTAAATAATTTTTTTTCTTATTTAATGATAGTTCTCTGCAGAATAGTTTTTTACGTCTGATTAAGAACTTAAAGAATAAAAAATAGAAACAATATGACAGTTTTTTTATTTCAATATGAGGAATTTTTAAAATCGTTTTTTTATCCTATAAATTCGTTGATTTGCGTTTTATAGTTTATGATTTTTAGATAAAAATTGTTGTCAAAATACTTTTTTTGAAAAATTAAATGGTATAACATTATGTGTTTATGTATACTTCTTGCATATTCTACTGTTTGAAGCAATATGATTCAGAAAAGTATGGAATAAAAATTCGGTACTTATGTATTAACGCCACAGCAGCTACAGATTTGGCGGTTTTTAAATGCCGCCAATAGACACCTAAAATTTTTGCAGCAAATTATAAAGTGAAACACTTTATTTAAAATCAAAGTAGTCAATAGGATTTCGGTGGGAAAGGGGCCGATATAGTGTTTAACATAGATTCAAAACAATCTCTATTTTACTTTCTATCTTAACAATCTCTATTTCTGTGTCGACATATTAACTCTAATAAATAAGATTCCAAATAACATTTCCAAAACGTACGTTTACCAAGACAACGTTTCATATCATGGGAATTAGTACTTTTCGTTTTCTTGGTAAAATATTTCGCTCCTGAGAAAATAAAATTGCATCTTGTTTTGTTTTTGACAAATCCTAAAGACGAATTTTCGTAGCACTAAAAAATGGCGTCAAAGAAGAATTGTTTTTTGTTTTGTTTCGTAAGCATTCTTTATTTTACATTTTTTTGTTTCTAAATAATGATTTTTATTGAAACTTAAAAGTTTTTAATAAAAATTGTTGTCAAAAAACTTTTTTTACAAAATTAAATTTTATAAAATTATGAAGCTTATGTATACTTTTTGTTCATTTTAATTTTTGAAGTAATATGATTCTTAAAACTATGGAATGTAAAGTTTAAATAAGCCTTTCATGTTATATCATTAAATTTAGTAAAACTAATGTTCCTTCTTAAAAAAGAAGAGATACCATTTTGTTTTCGTTTGCATAAGAAAGAATATCAAACATTTTAATTTTTTAAATTTAATAAGCCACAATAAAGAAAGAACGTTACAATGCTACGTGCTACATTAAAGACGTCTCCTGAGTAAATGAATGACTGTTCATATAGAAATCGCAGGTATTCGTCTCATGTAACAACGCCCTCTATAGTTCGTTGTGATCGTGAATATATGTGAATATATAAGATGAATCTCAATCTGAGGAACTTTTAAAAATTAAAACTCAATTTTATTAATTTCATTAAACATTTAAATTAAAACTTGTATATTGTTTCTTTATTTTAGAAATTCTTGCATTACCCACCAAACTTTTCTTTTTCGATTTTTGGCCCTCTACCTAAAAAGTTTGCCCATCCCTGGATTAGATGATCACGTTCTAGGACTTAATCTAAATAATTCGAGAGGGTGATCTCAAGCATGCTAATCGATAAAGGCAATGATATCTTAAGTTACGAAATCAGACATAAGAACCCACTTTCTCTGAATAAACCCATCATTTTTGTTGTTGTTCATGGATTTAGATTTCTGACTCCCCAAAATATAGGGGGTAGAAGCAATCTGGGAAATATAGTCCCGATAGTTTGGTCAGGAGTAGGGGTCTATATCTGCGGACAATTTTAAAGAGAATTGAAAAATTTTTGCACGGAATTATAAAGCTCATTTGTTCAAAGATAATTCCATGCAAAAAAGAAATTTTAAATATTTATCATTTTTTATTATTTTATTTAATAATAGTCAAGAAAATTTTGAATTGTAAGGTTTACAATTTTTTGCATCATTTTGAAAAATATAATTTTACATGGCAAAATACGAAATTTGAGCTTAATAGGTAGAATAGCTCCTGAGGTATCGAATTTCAACTATCTGACTTGATCTGATCAGGAACTATACGACTGATTTTGCTCAAATTTCGTATTTCGTCATGTAAAATTAAGGTCTTTAAAATGATGCAAAATATTGAAACATTTACAATTTATTTACGTACTATTTATGTACAACAGTTTTATTACGCATAAAACATTTTTAAAACAAATATAGCGTAAAAATTGTTATTTTATATAGTGTAAGTATGTAATATTATTTTATATAGTATAAAAATATATTAATTCTAATAAAATTTTCTTATTTCTAACTCTTTATTTGGACCTTAGTATCATATCTTATATAAAAAAAATATTACTCCCCGAGTGGAAAGAATACCTAGCAATTTTTTCAGAAATTTTTATAACACTTTTGCCAAACTATTGGAGAATTATACATTTCTCTTAATCTTTCATTGATGTGCTAATATTGCTATGCTCTTTACAGCTTGTTACATTTACAATACAATATTTAACAGCTTGTTACATCATGTATACATGAACAATAACTGCAATAACTGACATAATGGACTGAAATACTCTGAAGGTGGCTTAATTACTTTATATTTGTTGAGTTCAAATATTTTCACATAAAATTTCCATTCATAAAATTTTACATAATATTTAACATCATGTAAATACATAAAACAATGAGAGTTAATTTCTAGTAAAAAAATAGTCTTCTTCTTTAGGCAGATATTAGATATTAATTTAATTCAAATTAAAAAATTATCTTGAAGATCTTAAGAGCTGAGTTTCTTGACGTAAGTATCAAAATTGTATTGGTGAAGATTTATTTTTGTTCCTGATTAGAGTCATAATTTTTATCTATCCATAATCGAGCTACTGGACTTAAACATTTAGAATTGGCAGGTATCATGCTCTTTTTCCAACCTGAAAAAAATATATATAATAAGAAGATAGATGAATAGATAGATAGATAGATACTAGCTTATAGTTCTCATTAAAGAAAAATTTATTGTAAGTTCAATATTTAGTAATTTTTATTCCTTATATCAGATATGCTCAATGATTGATGTGAAAGTGGCAGCATAAAAAAAATACCTCAATAAAGTTGTTTTTTAAAGTTATCTAAAACCACGCGTTATTTATAAATATGGTTTAAAAAGTTGCTTCATTAAAGCTAAATAATTTAAAATAAAACGTATTCGAAGTAAAAAATATACCAAAATATATAAAAATATCTAAAAAACATAATACTAGAAACCTAAATCAATTGTAATATAATCACCATACTTTTATTAAGGGCAATGTTGTTTGATTAATTTAAGTAATATGTACTAATTGATGTTGTTGCTGTTAATTTACGTCACACTAGAGCTGTACAATGGGCTATTGGCGACGGTCTGGGAAACATCCTGGAGGATGATCCGAAGACATGCCATCACAATTTTGATCCTCTGCGCAGGGGATAGCACCCCCGCTTCGGTAGCCCGACGACCTGCGCGCGAAGTCGAGCACTTTACGGTAGCACAGTTTAACGAGGACCAATACATGTACTAATTGAAATAGTAATAAAATGAGTTATGCACTAAAAAGCAAATTTAATGGAGTTACTGATAGGAGAAGCGTAAGAAATTGCCATACAAATGCTGATGCATATGATGTGTAATTAATTTTGGTAATAGTTACGAATTGAAGTTAAAAAAAATAAGACATGGATGAACTAAAGAGAAAAATTAATTGAGAAATAGTATTAATTCCTTAAGAAAAGAAAAAAATTGCCAAACTGTTATTGGAGCCAATGATACTTTTTTAATCCTGATTATGGGTATTAATTGAGAAACAATAAGCTATATTCTAAGAAGGAAAGTTTACGGAGAAATGATTCCAGTACGTTTAAGAGTAAAACATTTTCATACCATTTTTACTTAGTTAATTTTGGTCATAGGACAAATTTTAAAAAAATGAATTATATACTAAAAAGCAAAATTAATCGATACATGATACTAATTCGTTAAAAATAAACGTAAGAAAATCGTCATGCTGTTATTTTATTTTATTTTATGACCGTCGTTGAACAGTCGAACATGTTGTGTAGTGTGTTTTACCTATTTTTATTATGAGTAGTAGTTGAGGCAGTGTTTTGGAGGATAATGAATTATAAAAACAATGATGTTTAATTAATTTTGGTAATATGCACTACTGGCATTTCAGGAAATTGGCGCAGTTGCAATAAGTACCAAATATGCGAATATCCGTACAATGAATTATGGTATATTTAGAATCTATTTAAATTGTATCCCAATGCCAGACAGCTTTAATATAAATGCTGCTGAAAGTGGTCTTTACTTCCCTTCGAATTTGGAAGTGCCAAAGAAAATTGCTTTGCCAAAATGATTATCATAAGTTGGCCTCAAGCATCGGCTTTCCGCCAAATGATTCAGTTTGCAATTATTTTGATGAGATGTACTAATAAAAACTTGTTTTTTTCAATCTAATAATGTAAATCTATCGAAAAGGAGAATGTATAATAAATAAAGGAAATATTGGAATTGTTTGTTAGCTTTTTTAATTGTATTGCTATAAGTCTTTCATTTTTGTAAATGATTTTTGTAGTGTTGTTCAGTGATGATTTATTGGTTATTTTCTTTTTTTTTCTCATATCATGAGAGGAGTGGGAATTCAGTTAGTTTATGATTAAATGAATTTTTTTTTAAAAAAAAATCTCTTTCAAGAAAACACTTACCCGTGATCAACACAGCAAAGGAGGTGAAAACAATGGTGAGGAGGAAACCAAGAAAAGCATACCACATGAAAGACATTTTATATAGTACAAAGCTGTCCCTGAAATATTTGTTAGCAAAAAAAATTTTTTTTTATGAATTTTAAAAAGAGATGAATATTAGTTTAATGCATGAATTATTTTAAGAATAAACAAAAAGTTGTCAGTACTTTAAAAAAAATCTTCTTCAGAAATAGTTACGAAAGCACGTGAAATATTTGTTCGCAAATTTTTTTCCTCAAATTTATATAAATTTGATGATATGAAATTAAAAAAGAGAGGAATATCAATATAATGCATGGATTTTTTTTGAATAAACGAAAAGTTATCAGTACTTAAAAAAAATTCTCTTCGGAAATAATTTCAAAACCACGTGAAATATTTGTTAGTAAAACTTTTTTTCATCAAATTTATAAAAATTTGATGATATGAATTTAAAAAAGAGATGAACATTAATTTAATGCATGATTTTTTTTTAGAATAAACAAAACGTTATCAGTACTAAAAAAAAATCTTCTCCAAAAATAGTTTCGAAACTACGCGAAATATTTGCTAGCAAAAAAAATTTTTTTTAAATCGAATTTATATAAATTTGATGGCATGAATTTAAAAAAGAGATGAATATTAATTTAAAGCTTGAATTTTTTTAAGAATAAACAAAAAGTTATCAGTACTTAAGAAAAAGATCTTCTCCAAAAATAGTTACGAAAGCACGTAAATATTTGTTTGCAAAAAATTTTTTTTTACATCAAATTTTTATAAATTTGATGACATGAATTTAAAAAAGAGATGAATATTAATTTAAAGTATGAATTTTTTTCAGAATAAACAAAAAGTTATCAGTACTTAAAAAAATCTTCATCAGATATAGTTGTGAAACCAGAATGTGAACAAAAAAATATATATTACTGACATCTTTTTTAAACAACTATAATTTTTTTAATTCTGTAATTTTTCCTACGAAAAAGGAAAACAAAAGATCCAAACTTTGGCTGGAATTAAAAAGTTCAAATGATATTTCCCATGAGCGGGTGTCATAATGAACCAGATAAAAACGTTTTGGGACCTTTATTTAATACTATAGAGGGATACAGTATAGCAATTTCGAACTTAGAGGGGAGGTTAAGGCATATTATAAGAAATAAGAAGGACATAACAACCCATGTTCAGAATTGTCATTCTACCTTTTCGTTATGCATTTGAATTGCTACTTTACCGAATTTATATTAATTTCTAGCTACACTGTCAGAAATTTCATTCTGAAATTATGGTGAAATAACTGGCATCAGTCTGTTTATCCAATTAACCGTAATGATTACGGTAGAGAAAATTTTTTACCCTTACCGTTTTGAAACCATTTACAACTAGTAGGGTTAAAAAAACATGAACACAAAACGATACGTTTTTTTTAACCATTTACAGCTATCATGGCTTTAAAACCATGAAAAAGAAATTTAAGTGTACATTTTAGATTGTTCAGCTGGTATGAAGCTGCCAAGTATGGGTGAATCAGAGCATCGTATTCTAATTACCCGGGGTCACAAACTGAGAAGTACAGGACACTTGAAATCCGCAGGTGTTGAAGAGAATTGTGGAAGTATAGCGGTGATTCTAATTCTGTTGGTCATGACACTGGCAGATTACCCTTCTCGGCTACAAAATATACTCATCTGCAATGAACTAAGATGCTTCATCAGGTGGGCCTAGTTGTTGTGATAAAATTCTGGTTGTTTAACTATATTTAATGATATGAGTTAATAAACGCTTTTTCCGATTGTTAATAGTTTGAATACCATCTTATTTATGATTATTTGACGATTTTGTTTGAATATGGTAAAATGATAATTAAATAAATTGCTCTTTAACCATTTTTCCGAGAAATTTCTAACAGTTTATTGTTGTCAAAAATCATTCATGTAAAATTAATCATTATATTTATGTAAGCCTAAAAAAGATATTTTACGTAGCTAAATGTACCAAGCTCGTCAAGTTGGTAAACAAATAATTAACTTATGATAAAACAGGAATTTCTCATTCAATCTTCTCAATTGGCTGACTTCCCCTTCAAATTTGGAACATCCTGAATAATGTGTAAAGGTCGTTAATGTCTTTAGTTAAAAAAAAGAAAATAAAACAGCTTAAGACTGAGAAGATAAAGGTTCAAGGGGTTCAGATTGGAATATTATTAATAAATTTGCCAAAACGATTACTAAGCATCATTTCGAACATATTTTGTGTTTTTTAAAATTTTGATTTTACGAACGCAACTCAGAGCAAATATTTTTTAACAATCATTTTTTTAAATTTTATTTTTCATACTAACTGCATGACACAGGGCTAGAAAGGACAAGACATGAAATCGAGTGTTTTATCTTAAAAAGAGGCAAATAAATTAAAAATGGAACTTATTTAACCTAAAAAGTACATTCTTCGATGAGTACAGTGCGAAAAATGAACTTTGTGAGAAACTGAATTTTGAAACTGCATCTTGTTTAAAGTTCGATGTCTTGAACTATTCGATCTATTTCACTCAAATTTTGTATTTTGCTAAATAAAATTACATTTTTTAAAATGATGTAAAAAATTGTATACCTCATAATTCAAAATTTTTTCTATCAATGTTAATTAAAATTGTAAAAAAAATAATAAATATATACTGAAAAAATATACTTTCATGCAATTAGTACCCAATGGTTAGAGCATCGTACTCTGGAACGGAGGGGATGTGTTTGATTCTTAACTCCATTAAATACATGCCCCAAAGAGATTCAGACATGTCTCACCAATCCATGCATGTCCCACCGAGTACACACCATGCAGTAAAATCTCTGAATTCAAAAGTCCTGTGATCGGTCGCTAAGCAGTACCATGGGAACATAGATCTGGAGAAAATATCCTTCCCCTCCTTCCTATGTCTAATTTGAGGAAATTGTTAGCGAATAATTGATGCTGCCATATTCATGGGATTCTGAGCTAAGATGCCCTTTCACCCTTGCGGCGCTCTCTTGTCAGACGAAAATCCCTTCTTCCTGTCTTAAGTCGCAAATATTCAATGTCAGTCTATCTTGGCTTGTTCAAGTGCTATTTGAAACAACAGCAGTCTAGCTGTTAACTTTAGTTTGATATTTATTACACAAACTTTATACTTACCCACTTTAATGCAATTCATATATACTAAAATTTGGAACAGTTGATGCGATAGGCATATTAACTTATCGGGAAAATTAGCTTGTAATAATTTTCCAACTTACTCCCCAATAGTTGATATTGGTGATACTGAACTGCAGTTTGTAGAGTTCAAGCATTCTACCATGGTGGAATTCTCAAACATCGTTTCATTTTGTGATGAAGAGCACATGCTGTCACTCAGGGGTAATGTAGATTGAATATACCCTACATGCAAAGAGCTAAGAGCTATCCAGGCCATTATTATGTAGGTCATTATTGCAGCGACGGAAATACACTGAAATTAAGTAAATTTAATTGTTAAATTATGTAATGAACTTGATAAGTCAATTATATAATGTGTTTAAATAAAAAAAGTGTGTTCCTTCATCATTTAGCATTCATTTAAATTTAGCTTTCAATACAAAAATTGAGATTCATGAATGCTAATTTAAAGAACTTTTCTGACGACTCAACTTCAACACAAACTCAGTAGACCAAATATTGCCTTCTGTAACTCTTATAATTTTATATTTCGTGCTTAAGTATTTAAATAAATGTTAGCAGATTAAATATGGTAAAAAAATTTCGGTTTTGTATTTTCATTATCTTTGAGCTCTTATGCTTTTGCTTGTGTAGGGTCCTGTCAATAGCAACATGAATTACAGCTTTTGTTGTTAACCACGTTGCTATAATAATAATATAACGAAACATTATACTTGTTTCGCTGAGAGGTATGTATTTTTGTTTTTGGCTGCTGAGGAGTTACGAAATTTTTTATTATATTTTTGCAATTTATATCCTTATATGTATATCTGCTCTAATTTTCATCGGGAACATTTTCTTGTGTTTTATAGAGTATAATGGCTTCTTAAAATATTTCTCAATATTTTCAAAATTTTAATTCGCTATATGTTATTGCTGAGGGATACTGTAGTTTTGTAGACTGAAATTTTTGTAGACTTTTACACTGAATATTTATTATAAAAACGAATTGTTTAATCGTGGGGAAACATTTTTCTATTCACTTGAAAAAGTTTTCGAGATATAGTGAAATACGCAAAAAAGTAATACCAACATTAAGGCGTCTAAAACTTTCTTGATCAAACTATTAGGACCACATTTTCCAGACTGCAGCTACCTCCATACTCTGGGGACAGAAATCCGAATCTGACGGAAAAGCGGAATGCTCATTCCAAAAAAGAATAATTTTGCCTCCGATTTCATAACTTAAAATAATGTCGACTCTATATAATATGCATATTTAAGGCTAGGTCCTAAACCATTAAAATTGTATTCTAGCACTTGAAAATTCGAGAGTCAGATAAATTATTAAACTACATTAAAAAAATACATTATGATCAGCTGGAAAGATTCAATGATATACCTGCCAGTGACGTAATGCTGGTATCGCGATTCTGATAGGTTTTTGAAACGTGGCATTTATTTACGTTAGCAACTGTTCTTTCCATTCTATTTCTAGTAAGCCAAACCCGTCAAGTTTAAATTCTCATAAGTTACTCATTCTATATTCTTTCATGATATGTTACTTATTTAAACACGAAGACAGGTAAGAAGCCATGTTGAACATAAACAAACTAATTATATTACGAAGTTGACAGGTACGCAAAACAAAAATGTATCATGGTTACAAGAAAAGTCGTAAACAAATAATAAATCTAAGTTAAGTAAAAGTCGTAAATGAGAAAGAATTCTATTTCAACAAATTTGATGTGCGATGCGGCTCTGTCTTTAATACACTTCACGTTAATTAACATTCTAACTTATGTGGAGAAACTTAGCTCAATTTTCACATGCCATATGTGACCTATGAAGTTCCACTGCTGGTGCTAACGTCATAGGTCACATATGTGGGTATTTGTGATCTTCTTCTTCTAGAAGTGCAAGTACCCAATTAAAACTTGGTGGCTGAATGCAGAGTACTTTTGGAGTTCGTAATGCAAGCGCATTGCCTTGATGAAATTGCGTTTAAGCATTTTTGAGCTCATATCATAGGTCAAATAAGAATTTTTGTCTCTGCAATTCAGCGAGATTTGTAATTCGATTTTTTGGGAACAATCCTAGGCATTGTTGGCACGCATATCAAACATGTTATTAATTAAATCTGAAGATTTGTTCTAACTTTTAAGGAGATCTTAAAATTTTTGAACTCAGTAGTTTTCTTATTTTTTATTTTTTCACTTAATTTAAATCAATAATTTATCTCTCATATGCAATTTATAGAGAGAAATTTCCAACAATTTTTATGTATTTTTATTTCGCAGTTCGTTCTCAAAAGTTATACTACTACCTAAATTTGCTGCTAAATTTTCCAGAAGATTTTATTTGTATGTAAAATGAAAAATACTTATAAATAAAACAATACAAAAGTGTTTTGCATACTCCAGAATTGTTATATTGAAAGATCAGAAGAAAAAAAACTTTTTTGGAAAAATAAAAAAATCTTTCTGAAATATAAATACGATGCATTAAAGAAGGCAAAGCTTACTTTATCGGAAGCTTTCCTTGTCAGTACTCCAAACAGGAAAACTCCACAAACAATGCCCTGAGGTAACACAACAAATACTTGAGTCAAATGATGAATACTGCTGGCTTGTTGAAATATAAAGCTCAAACCAATGCATATTCCACCATATATAATAGCTACATAAGATTAAAAAAAAGAATTGTAAAAAGACTATACATAACGTATACAGAATGTATTACTTAAATGAAATGGTATTTTTAATTATAATTTTTGTAATTAGTGTTCAAAACAAGCATGTACTGTCTTACATGCTCGGTCTTACAATTTAAATTCACGAATTTAGCACTTAAAGCTGCAAAAATATGGAGACAACATATTTTTTCAGCGCGTGTATTAGTTCCTAGTGTTCTAAATATTTTAGTCTCCTTTGGAATTTCTTAATATTTTTTCAGAAAATCTCTGCACCCTGTTAGACCCTGTCTCATTCATCATTGATTATTTCTTCTCAAACGTTATTATTTTCCACAAAAACACAGAGCAATTCGATCTCTAAATATGCAATTATTATAGCGTTATGTATGAAAATTTTATTAATATGTTATTCATAACGAAATAGAGAATTACTTGGATTTGGAAATTAATCATCTGAACTTGAAAAAGAAAATTTTGACCTAAAGAACACAGATAACTATTCAAATAAAGAATAGTTCTTATCGCTCTTAATTAAGTTTTTTTAATTGTTAAAAATTTGTCTATAAATTTTAAGAGTTACATCTGGTAACACAAAATCTCTTTTTCCTTCTTTCTGTCTATCTCACTTTCTTTCTTCTTTTTTTTTGTTACTTTAGATTCATACAAATCGAGTGCGAGTTTATATAATGACGAAACAAAGATCTCAAATTTTACAGTGGATAAATAATTTGCAAAATCTTTCGTTAAAATTAGAATACAAAATGGACCTATCAATAGATTAAATTTCTAGTTTTTAGATGCATTTCAGTGGACAGTAGATTGATGTAGATGGATTTTTTACTAGTTTAACAGTTAATAAATCTTGACCGAACAATTCAATTGTAATTGTTTTACTCCACTGCAGTTCTTGTACACTTTTCAACTCATATTCGTATTTTCAAATTTCTAAATTGTAAAAACTTTGAGCAGCAAAGCAATATGTAACGAAAAGCAATAAGAAATGAGAAACATTTTTCAAAAAATCACTTACTATAATAATGTCAATAACTTTTGAAAAAGTAGAATTTAGAATAAAAACTATGTGTTAAGTTCTTATCAGTAAATTTTCTCTCTCAATGCTCTGTTACCAGTAAATTTTCATCCATAAAACTACATAAAATTAGATTCAACTTTTTTTTTCTCAATGAATGCTGTTATATCATTCTAAAAAAGGAAACTAATTGAACACCTGGATCATTTGTTTGAAAAGTAATTAATGGCGGTTGGCTTACATTTTCATTTCTCACCGAATACTACAAAAGTGATAAAAAACACAATAGCCTCTGAAAACTATTAGAAATTTATCAACACATTACATTGTTTCATGAAGTTTCTAATCTTAAAAGATATTTAATTAAATTGTATTACGATAACACCTTGGTGTAATAGTCAGGATTCACCCTGTGTATAGAAGTTCAATAAATATTTATTCTCACAGTATTGATTTTATCATTCCTAACTTACACATTGTTTTAGCCAAGAAAATGATTTTTAAATCAGATATATTGTTCTTTTGAAAGAGTGGTATCAAGTAATCTATAACAGTTACGGTTGAAGCAGAATTCAGGCATGAAGAAATTGTACTCAAGGCGGCACTGAAGACACCAGCTATGCATAGACCTGTCAATCCCGGATAGGAGCTAAATCTTTGCACAATATAAGCCGGGACAATCTAAAAAAAATATTTCATACTTTATCCAGAATACAACATTTAAAACTTATTATTTTAAAAAATATATTTAGAGTCTTTATAAAGAAGACAATAAGACAAATAAGAAAAGGAGGAGAAAAAAAAGTGTCCCGCAGAAATGAATTGACCTTGGATAGAACCCAAAATATCCACCACATTTTCGTACGACTTAAAATATGTGATGTCGCCAATACTTTAATTCTGCATTTCAATTCTGCCCTAGATTGAAACTGTTTCTTTTTGCTGCAAATACAGCATTACTGAGGACATCCTTTCACGTTTTTTTGCGATTTTAAATTACGAGATAGGGCACATTATCCAAAAATTACCACTTTGTAAGATCTTGTGAGCATGTTCTTGGAAAACCTGACTTTGGCCAAATATTCTCTACTATCAAATGTCAGTAAATAAACTTCTAGCTTTTTTATTCTATTTATAAATTTTTTTCCGTAGAAGTTAGCCTTGATGGGGCCAACGGGAAAAGACACATTATGTTAAACACTATCGCTGAAGCCTATTCATGGCATTTTGAGGTTCAATATTGCAGTTCATTTGCAGAAAATTTTCATTTCTTTTTCTGATTACAATATGTTCTACAAAAAATTGTGATATTATAAAAAATAGCAGTGACCCGTGTCGAAACTATAACAAGAGGTGTGTAAAAAGTAAAAATAAAGGTGGGCCCTGGGTGCGACTATTATGACATAAGAAGAGAAGATGATTTCCTCTCCTTTATATAGCAAAGCGGAGGCTCATCAGTTGTACGGGAAGACTTCGGCTATGTGGGTAATTTTAACTCCACCTCTTCCCCACATTGTACGTAGACTGCCGATCACCTAGAAATTCATTTATTGTCATTTTCTGGGAGAAATGGTTTCCCAAGACAGATTTTAAAGCAGGACAATGCCTCCATTTACTTTGTAAAATCTTCAGAGTGTCTACATTATATCATATCCCACGTTGAACAGCCGATACAATTTTTGGGTTTATAACTGCTAATGTTCAACTACGTAGCCTTGTAATTTTGAACCTAATCCAGAAGCCAAGGGATCTCCAGGATCAAGTATTGGGCGAAATTTACCTTCCTGGAGGACTTTTTGATGGAAGTAACCCGTATTTGCGTTACAAGCAGAGGAGACCACTAGAAACTTCCACGGTTAGCCTGGAGGCAATCATACTTTAACCCATGATCCTTTTACCACTGAAGATATTTCATGTCATGAATGCGGTCGGTGCAAACCGGATGCGGAATTCATATCGACCAGCCATCGCCAGGATTCGAAACCGGCTCACCTCATTGGAAGGTGAAAGCTCTGTTCCCTGAGCCATTGTGGCAACTTCACAGTGTTTGGAAAACTTGGGGGCTGGCCATGAATAATTTGTCCTTTTATCTGACTGACAACAACGAGAAATCTCGGGGGAATTTGTAGTTTATGAGTATTTGAGTGTATGTATATTTACTTACTTGATCATATTTGCTTAATCCTGTTGTCCTTTTATTCAAGATCGGATCGCAATTATAATAAACGCCATATAACACTATTCCTATGTAGCAGCAAGCAGAATGCATCAAAAACATTGGTAAACTACTCATTCGAAGGGTTCTGTAAAATTAAATTATACCTTTTAGCGATATTTTCTGATATTCATGTCTCAAAATTTCAAAGCATAAGAACTGGATAAAAGTATTATGTAGTAGCAAGAAAATGAGTTACTTTTCATTACTCTTCGTCCTGCGTACAAAAAAAAAATAGTAATATTTAGCTGATGAGCAATCCTCAACATCGGATATGGAAACACTTCCCAACTGTCAGATAATTTTTCCTGAATCTCTGTTATTCCTCTTTTAAAAACTCGTCTAACCTGGCACTCAAGTTGTCTTATAGTATCGCTGCCACTAAAAGTAGTCTCATAGAATCGCTTAGCAAATTCATCGACATTTGTCCAGATACTGGAAGACTGCGGCTTCTTCGATTAGTGAACCACTTCCGTAAAGTTTCCTCAACATCCTTGTGATCATCCTTTCTCAACTTTTTTCTGCCATCTAAATTTTTTTCATGAGCAGAAATTATTAATCGCCTATTTTTCCATGTGTAACAAACTGCAGATTTGGATAGTTTGTTATACTCCCTGCAAATATCAGCTTGATTGCATCCATTTTCAATTTTTCTGATTATGCCCATTTTATCATCAATGGAGAACATTTTACGTTTACTGCTCGCCATTACGTTTACTGCTCGCTAAATTTGAGACACTTGTTTGCAGGATTTTTTTAACTGAACTGACAGCAAAAAGGAGTTAACATGAGGGCCTTACCAACATAGATTAGTGTCCAACCCTTTGACCAATAATGAATAATTACTCATTCCATCTGACAGATTGATCCCACTGACACCTTACAGGTGCATCATCTGCCTGGGTTGGAAGCATCTGCTTGGTTTGCTTAGGGTTGGGAAAGAGAGACAAAAGAAGCAAACAAGAAAAAATGCTTATCGCTACATTCCCCTCTATAGATTATTTTAAAAATCGGTATATGTATTTATTTTGAAGTATAAATTTCAAAATTATTACAAAAAATAACATTATACGTGTATAGCAAGGCACGAGACCGAACATTTCGTTCACTATATCCGGGAGTTCACTCTAAACCGTGTTCAATATAGCGGGGTTCGAATGAGTATATATAGTGAGGTTTATCAATTGTCTTGCATTTGAGGAGGTAACGAGATGAGGATCAAAAAGAAGTGTAATTTAAGCTTTATTAGATAAGAGAAGCATTGTTTAATGTGCTGAAACTGATACATATTTCAATTATATGTTTAACGTATACATTTCTCTATACTTTCCATAAAAGCAAGTGTTACTTTTTCTTTTTATGTTCTTTCATAGAAACACTGATTAGAAACTTTTTTGTTGCATTTATACTAATTTTTGTTGCATTTATACTTTCTTGCCTAATTCGGAAGTGAAGACTTCGAATCTGAATTAAGTTTCACTCCTACAGCTACAGTTTTTTTTCATATAACATTGTTAGTCTACTTTTAGACTAAAAATATAAGTTTAAAAACGCTATATATTACAGAGGATAGCATAAATGTTGAGATAAACTTCGGCATATCATCAGGATTAAAATAATCGGAAATGAATGCTTCCCTATTATGATTATGCTCTATCATAACCTTCCTAATAGGGAAATGTCCCAGCAGCGTATGACGACATTTCCCAGCATGGGTTCTTATGCAATTTTCATCCTATTGATGTACCTTAACTCCCCTAAGCGTTTGTCCCAACATTTATACCACTCCCTGTTATGCACAACGTTTTTAAACATGCATATTTCATCTAAAACAGTTGCTTGAAAAGATAAACTGATTGCCGCTTTGAAATATGTGATGCGAAAGTGTCTATGATCTGTTACAAAATCTCATACATTGAAAAAAAATACTACTTTCTATAATTAATTAAACTTCCTCCAATACTAAAATAGTAACGTTTCAGAAAAATCCTCTGGTTTAATTCACATGAATTTGGCATTTTATAACTTAAAGCTATGAATTTATAGATCTAAGACAATACACCTTTTCACACATCTTAAATAGAAAATCATCATATATTTGCTAAAGAAACCATTTCTTTAATATAAGCATATTTTGAGCTTTAAATAAGCACTCATCCGAATGACATGGTAGATGAAGTAAAGTGTTTAATTTATACTGTTGACCATAAGATACTCTTTAACTTCAAACTTAGGGAATGTGAGCTTTACTTATAGGAACTTTAGAATGTGAGCAATGATACCCATATTATCAAAATGTTGGAATTTTTAAGTAATTAATAGAACTACTTAAGCACACAATGTTTATGAATCCAGATGTATATTACGTTTACGTGTCTTACAAACATACGATTTTGCTCGTTTACTGCTACTGAGACTGAGCAATCTTTGCACTTCAATCTGATTTGTTCCAAAGAATGACACTCCCAATATTAGCCCTTGAGTGGCGCATGCCCAGAATCCATATCGTAATGTCATATCTGGAATGAATCTGAAACATGTCAAAAATAAATTTTACACTCAGGAAATTTCATTTTTTTTACATGTTTTTTTTTATCACCAAGTCATGTTTTAGAACAGCGTTGGAATAAGTAAATGTAAAAGAATAATAAATTCGCTGTATTGAACATTAATGCAAAAACGTTGCAATGAGTAAAATAGATTTAAAAACCTACTTACTCGAAAAAACTCAACCTGTTTCCAGATGTGGCTTTTTGAATAATTTCAGTTATGCCCCCTGCATCAAAGATTCCTGCTGTGTATATAGCCAATATACAAGTTATCATCAATAGAGCTTGAAAGACATCTGTCCATAAAACAGCTTTCAACCCACCCTAAATATTTTATTTTTAATCAAAAGTCAATGGAATTTAGTTATATCATAGATTAATAGAATACACTGCTAAAAATAATTTCAGTGAATCCTGAAACCGGGTACTAATTATCTATCTAATTATTAGCATAACTATTTAATTGAATGAGTGCATAATTACATAATACGTATTAAAACAAAAATTATGACTCTAAAAGGACTTAACTTGTTAGGTTCTAATTTTTTAGGTAAAGTTATTTTTTTTTTAAAAAATTGCAGAGAAATTACTTAATTGGCTTCAAAATACGTGAAGTATTTTGGTAGTTACGATTATATTACATAAAACTGCCATTAACTGTAGCATAACTTCAAAAGTACCTCAGTTTGATAGAAAAACTACTCATTATAGTTTGATAACAAACTACTCAATACGTTTTTTTTAGCCAGTTAAAACACAATGAAATGAAACGAGATCTACGAGGATATATAATCACAGAAATGACAACTGTTACAAAATTTATTACAGTTGTTCTCACTCTTTTATCTTTATTGCCACTAGTTAGTCACTTAATGGCGGATTTAAACACAGAAAGCCACCTCAAATCACGATGGGAGAAAATGTTCGAAAGTTTTCAATTAGATAGATTTTAGAGAAAAATTGTTTGTTTTTTAATTTATGATACAACTGCCAAATTTTCGAATATTTAATGTGAGTAACTGCGTCCAGCAACTAAGAATTTAAGGAAAAATGATTTTATTATTTTTGTTAAAGTTGGGTAGAGATAGATATTTATTTATAACTTCAATAATATTTTTGATTGGTAAATGTCAAATTATTATAGCACGATGCAATGAATTTACTTATTTTGTTACTTTTACTTTATATTTTTAAAGGGTTACTAGTTAACCCTGTCAAATATGTTTCATCAAGTTAAGTTTTAATCTTAAATCAAATTACTCGGAAAATCAGCAGTGAAATTAGAACAAATATTTAAATTATTATTTTTATTAAACTTTTTGATGAGCAAAAAAAAAATTTCGTGATTGTATTAAACAAATTTTAGTTTAATACAATCACGTGAAGAAAATTTTATTGGAAATATTATCTATAAAATTAAGCAGTTTGAAAAATATCAGTCAATTTGTCTTAAAAACAATCTCACCAAGGAACAATAAAAAGCACAAACAGTTCCCAAGGACACAACTGACATTTCAAAAGACAAGTCTGTGACAGCACTCAATGCCAAAACTGCTCCATAAAGAGAAATAGACATGTAGAATACCTTTAAAAAATGCTTAAATGTAAAATAACATCTTATTTTGAAACAGTGATTATTTTTTTATGCAATTTCTATATTTTTCCTTACCATCTGCAGTAGAAACATAACAGAAACCAGATACCTAATGATTCGTCCATAACGCATTTCCAGGAACTAGAACAAATCATTTTCAATTTGATAAGTATAAGTCAAATTTGACATAATGCTGATTTTTTGTATGAAGGATATTATTTTAATGTTTTTCTTTATTAAAAGAAAGTGCTTTAAAACAAGTGCGCTAATTTTGTTCAACACGCTATAATTGCATAATTAATGCTTAAATTATTCAATGCCTCACTAAATTTTAGAACTGACATTTCAAAAGACAACTCTGCAACAGTGTCAAAACTGCTCCAATTGTTTTCACTAGTTTAGGCAGTTATACGAGATGTGTAAATAGTACAATTTGCGCCTTTTGTGCATAAAACACATCATAATTTTTGAACCTTTAATTTAATCGTTCCGAAATAGGTCTCATTCAATGAAAAAAAAATGCCTCATTTGTCTTAGTAGAAGAGATTCTATTCTTTCCCTCAAAATCAACACTCTTCTTAAAAAAGAGTGAAGAGAGCTGTGTTGGCTCAAAAAATAGAGCATTTGCCTTCCAATGAGAAGAACCGGGTTTGAATCCCAGCAATGGCAAGTCGATACGAATTCCATACCCGGCTGTCACCGACCACAGTGCTGACGTAAAATATCTTAAGTGGTAGACGGATCATGGGTTAGAGTCCCCTTGCCGTCAGGTTTACCATAGGAGGTTTTTATGGTTTTCCGTTCCATCTAACACAAATGCAGGTGAGTTCCATCAAAAAGTCCTCCACGAAGGCAAATTTTTCCCAATACTTGATTCGGAAGTTTCCTTGTCTTCTGGATTCGGTTCAAAATTACAAGGGTACGGAATTGAACATTTCTAGTCGTAATATTAAAAATGGGTCTGCTTTTTAACGACAGTTATAAAAATACGAGGGAAGGGAAGCGTACAGTGGATAGTAAGGGAATTTTCAGTTATAATTTATTGTACATAACAAAGCTTTTCGTCAAACAATATCCAGGCAATTAATTTTTCCATAGAAACAAATTTTTTTTCTGTAACTGCTGCTACTTTTCTATAACTAAGATAGTGCTTCTCTTTCTTGCAAATATGAAAATTTATCAATTTCTTTTATTTAAAAATATAATAGTTTGTGTAATACGGGTGTAAATTTTGAGTATTTGTTACAAATATAAGGAATTACCAGGTTTGTCCTTTTCAAATGTCTCCAGGACGAGATCTTACAATATCAATCTTTCGTGCCTTAAGATTTGGATAATTTACTTTCTTAAAGTAAAAACACAATCAGTTAGTCCTGCTACAATCAGTTAGTCTGGCAAACTGGGAGGGAGGTCATGGCTCAACAATTTCGAGACCAAAGGCTTAATGACGTCAATGTGGCTAGCAATGAACACCAATCGTTTTTCCAGTCAGGTTGGTACTTATTGATCTGAAGCTGGGTGGTATATTATATATCAAGTCTAGCTAGTGGGGGTAGAAACTTGGTCTTTCCTCATAACTGCTCGGTGCCTTGACCCAGGGCTAAAGAAAAGATAAAGAAGTGCTGGTTCATTCCATACTCAAAGCTGAAGCTACGATTCCCCTCCTCATGATCATCCACACAGATCTTAAAAACCAGAACTAGAGGATATGAAAACTTGCCTGCTTTCAGTAAGAAATGAGTTGAATGTTCGACGCTTTTCTGATAATAGCTGTTCAACTTTACACTGCTAACAAATTATTTCTGTTCAAAAATATAGTATTCATGCATTTTCTTGGTATTCCTTATAGTATTAAAAATTAAAAAAATATTTTAAAGCTAGAAAAATATCTCAATGGTTGTCCTCATTGTTTTCTTATCATTTTCTAATTTTAGTTTTTAACTTTTACTGTTAAATAAATGAAAGCAAGTAAGAAAACTTTTATCGTAACATGTTGTTCGATAATAATATGTAACTATTAAAGTGTCGTTATATTTTATTAAGTGGGACTAATTTTAATCTATTTTCTTATTTACAATTGTAATAGCAATTTTTTTGTACATATTATCACTAGGACACAAAAATCTTAAATGCTAATTACTAAAAAAATAATCTTTGAGCATATAATAATGAAAATATTACACTTGCTCATACATATTTAAAATTAAGACGTTATAATTCAAACACATAAATATTTTGAATAATGACATTAAAAATATTTTATTAATTTGGAAGAACTTTTAAGTATTCATAGCTTTTATTTTTGAAGTTTAGGATTTTATTTTTTTGACTTTGTAAACTTTTTTCTCTTTTTCTGTTTAAAGTTACAAGACGGTATCGATTTCCATAGCGAAATTAACTGTTCTTAAACATCTAAACAAAAAACATGAAACATTATTCACAGCAGGATGAATTCTTCCAGCACAATTTATAATTCATTTGATGTCACCTTTATATTTTCTGATATAAAGAATGGAAAATTGAGCTTTCTCATTTTGTGTTTTATAATAATTCTTGCTGGGAGATATCGCCCAGGCTCGGTAACAGGTAAATCAGATGAGAAGAAAATCACCTCAAAATAAATAAAAAAATATAGAAAACAATGTTACATGCGAAACAATTTATTTAATTCGGAGCGTCACGAGTTTCTTCAAAGGAGTGTGACCTAGCCCTTCTATTCTCTATTTAGCCATTGCCTTAAGAATTGCACCATTGGAGCTCAAATACTAGACAATTGCGTTGTTTTGAGTTAGTAAATTTAAATTAAAGAGTGTAAAACGTTCTGCGTATAAATAATCAAAATAAAAAGAATAAACTTCGTTATAGAGGATTGCATTTACATTTGAATCCATGAAATCATTTAAGGAAACATGATTGTCCTGAGAAATTTGTAATGGTTTTTTAAACAATAGTGTGCTTCTACTTATAACTTGTAAGAATATACAAACATAAAAAAATAAAAATAATAAGAGGTAATTTAATAAATTAAATTATTCAATTTTAGAATGCAATAATTTAAACTAAAATTGAATAATAAACTTACACGAGCGTTTTAAAATTTACAATAAATATGATTTTATATTGAAATTTTTAATTAGTAACGTTTAGTTTTCATACCTCAGTAATACTTGAAACTTCGCACTGGAAATACACTGGTATAAGAACAATTGATGATAAAAGCATTCCCACGGGTATCATCAAATTTGACATGGTAATACCTATACCATATTTGTAAACTTCAGCTGGAGATGCAAGAAAAGATGTGGTAGAAGTAAGGGTAACCATTAAAGAAAAGATAACAGGATACTTTGGCATATTTTTTCCAGCCAACAAATAATCTGCCGTCGTTTTTTGTTTTCCTCCGAAATATCTGGAAAATAATCCTATACCTGTTGAAAACAAGAGAGTTAGAGAAATAGTTACATAATCGGCTACGTCAAGACTATACTTTTTAAACATCTTTGCTTTTCTTGTACTTATTTCTAACTCCCGCCTTTTACACTAGATTATTAAAAATCGAATGATAGAATCTTTCAATTGTGAAATACTGGAATGAAATAAAACTCATCAGAAAATAACATAGTAGATGTTCTAGATGTTTCCAATGAAATAAATGAAAAAGAAAAAACATATTGCCTCAATGGAAAGAAATATTTTTTCCCACAATTTTTAAGGTCATATCATTATAAAAATCGTATTTAATTATAAGACATGGAGAACAGTAAAAGTCAGAGAAATGACTTAGTATTTTTTTCTCTTTGATCTAGAAATAAAATGTATGAAAAATTAAATAGTTAGTACTTTCATTTGAAGACAATAATAAAATATGACGATATAAAAACGTAACTTATTATAATTGTTCGAACAAAGAATCATCCCAAAGTGAAATACGCCGATCAGACTGATTTTCTTACGGATAGTTTTTTAGGTTCCGAAAATCATGTATAAAATTTATTTTGTCTATTTCGAAGTAGTTATTAAGTTATAAATTTACAGCTTTTACCTTGAATACGTTTCTGAGTATAATTCATTCCACAGACTAAGGAATATTGTTGGCAATAAAATTTCGAAGCTTTACTGACTGACAGGAAACTTTGATATTTGGTACTCTTATCTTTTCGGCATTTAATACTCATTTGTCCATTTTAATATTCATTCGTAAGAAGACAAGCAGAATTTTACAATTCGATAGAGCTCAGCCTTACGATAACAAATACCTGATAATCCATGCATATTTCTTAATAGAAACAGTAAAAGCCAATGGCCAAGGGTTCATGGTAACCCAGTGACTAAACATCAGTCTGGAGGGGAATAGAACGTGACTTCGTTTCTCAACATAGCTTAAGACCTAATCTTAAGATCAACGAAGCTTAAGACCTTAAAAAATCAAAGTAAAATTTAGTCTGTAGCAATAAATACAAATTTTTAAGACTATATGTTACATTGATTAGTAATAAAGTTCCCGCCATCTAACTTCATTTGAGAGTTTCGGCATTTTCTGATTGATCAAGAGTCAAAATTTACCGAAACAAAGTTTAAATTTTTTTTTCTCGCGGACTTAACAAGTTATTTGTATCGGGTGGAATCTCATAATTTCACATATTTATTCATTTCCTTCCCTTTTAAAATTAATCTTAACATGTCAAAGTATCTATTATACAAAAGAATGATGTTAAAAAACTGTATGAAATAATCAGATATTAGAAATTATGATATCTCTTACTCACTTTAATCAAGTTATTATGTTACTATCTGTCGAACAAACTACTAATGTATTGATAAAAAGTTAGTTTTTATTCCAGGTGGTTATGTAAAGTAGAAAAGTTTGCAAACAAACTATAAGTTCTATTTTTATATTTAAAGAATTTTCTCTGTGCATCAAGAATTTATTGTACTTTGGCATAGTTTCTTGTATCTTGGCTTAGAAAAGAAAAACGAAATGTAACGCAACTAAATATTGATACCATAGCAACAATCAAAATTCTTAAATGGATGTTGTTTATTCATTTTCCAACTTTAGTGAATTGTGCAGTTTTGTCATTGTTTTTGTTTATTGTTTGTATTTATCAGTAGTTTTTTGTTCAAGTTTTTACTGGTATTTTTTTAAGGACTTTCACTGGTTATTGAATCATTTTGTAGAAATGCAAGTTGGCTTTTTAAAGCTTATATACAATAACTGTTTTTAATGCTTACTTAGTTTCTTGTTTAAAAAAATTTATTTATCTTTTATAAATTACTCATGCATTATTGAATAGATTAAAGTGCTACGTTACTTTAAATTTATATTGAAAACAAATATCTTGAACGGGTAAGTATATATTTCATGAAGTAAAGATAGAGATATTAATATACATTATATAAGTCTATCTTCACTTATATTATTATATAAGTAAAGATAGAGATCTTTTAAATCACTTTCTTTTGCTCCACTGTAAAACTATTTTCAACCTGATTGTCTGAAAATTATTTTTAAATTGTGTACAACATCTGGAATAATAGATTTATTGCTTTTATTAGGATCGAATAAAGTAAAAAATTATAATAAAATGTAAAAATAAATAAAAATTTTAAAAATTATAATCATAAAAAAATTTGCTTCCTTTTTTGTTGTTGCTCTTTGCGTGGTTATAACTATAAGAAGTTGATATAAAGGTTTGTTACTTTTTAATTTCGAAATCGTAAAAAATGGCATTTTATAAGTAACGTGATTGGTGCTTTATTATGTTATCTTTTGCTTGGTGCTTTATTATGTAATAATAGGAAATACGTACATTGATAATATGAAGTGATAAGACTTCTCCCATGTACCTATTTAGGTACCTATTAAGAATACTATGATAAAATTATTTTGCAGGATTTCAAAACGAATATGTACGAAAAGGGTATCAAACATTAAATATTCTTACTGTATTATGTTTTGAAAATTGTTTTGTTATGAAAGAAAATTAAAATGTTGTTACTATTTATTTTCTCTTTATTTAAATTTTACTTATAACACAGTTATTCAGATGCAATAAGATTAAAGTAAAGTACAACACTATGTGCATTTTTATGAAAGATGTCACAATTTAAAATGAAAATTATTTTAAAATCACTAAATGCAATAAAAAATAATAAAATGCTTCAAGTGAATGAAAAAATGAGATAATATTTTGATTTTTGACAAACCACATACGAAAAAAGTAAGGCTCATCACTCTCTAAAGACGAAGAGGAGATTTTGTTTTGGCAATAAAAGGTTTATATTATGAAAATGATGCACTTTGTGTTGCTTGTATGACAAAAATCAAATTATTTTCTTTTTTTCCCTTCCATTTGAAAAAATGTAGCTTTAGTTGTTTAAAAAATTAAATGTATAAAAATTTGATTTGGTAATAAATTTAGCTAGAACATTTTAGAAAATTATTGTTTATTGTCATCAGACACAGGCAGATGTTGAAATTTAAGCACTCTTATGAGTCGGAAAGTTTTCGAAGTTGGTATTGATAATGAATTTTAGTTGGCCATCTGAATTATGCTTATTTAGGTCAAGAAATGACAGAAACAAGCATTTTCATCTAACCGTACTTCAGTTCATTAAGAGTACATAACTAGTTGGAAAGGCGCCGAAATACAAATTGGCGATAAATTATTTTGGGTGCTAATATGATCCTAAGATCTGCAGCTAGTAATCAGGAAACAATTAAATCTGGAGATATCAACAGTACAGAGCTTCATTTAAAATGTAAGCACTCTATCTAATCAGACAGTCGATGAAATTTCTATTGACTATAAACTTCTTGAAGTAATAATATCACGCTAAAGTTTACTTGTGACAAATTTTCTGGGAAATAATTATTATTTAATTTGGCTGTTGGCTCGGATATCTGGATCAGGCTTAAATACTCTTGTTTTGGGGATATTGGACGAAATTTATTAACAGAGATCAATTAACTTTGTGATGATGCACAGTGAAGCAGCATCCAAGGTTTCGTGGCCAAAATTAGTATTTCGATAAAAAAAATTTCAAAATTTGGGGGCTTTTATGGGTTTTTATGTGCAGGTAAATTAAATTCATAAATGAAATTTTGAAATACACTAAAAATACCCAAAAAAGCAAAATGGCGGCTGAAATATGGCAAGGAAAAATAAAAAATATAATAAAGTACGTTTAAATAATTAAAAATAGCAATGAAAATATAATAGTTTTTGTAATTTTATATCAAAAATGAAAATCAAATTATATTTCCGAAGTAATATTACAAAATAACGCGAATTAATTACAAAATAACTCGAAAACAAACATAATTTTTGTTTTTCGGTATATTTAGTCCACCTTTGCAATACGAGCAAAATGGGGCTGGTTTTTTCGAAAGAAGAAACGTCAAAGAAGACAACAAAAAAAGTTGAGCTAATTACCCCGTGGAACTTTTTGGAACTAAGTTTCGAAAGTCATTCAAACATTGTAAAATGTCAAATGATAAGATATAAACTATAAGTTTGTAAAGAGTATTAACTAATCCAACATATTGAAAAATTGTATTATAATTTTAGACTTATTACTCTGATAAAAATGTAACAGTAAGGTGAAATTCCTATATATACTTCTGAAATAAAAATTAAAAAGTTACATTTAAAAAAATTTTTTTGAACATATTTTTCATTTCATTGTACTCTCGTCGGTCCAAAAAGTAAGTTATAATGTTTAGAATGATTATGAATACTTAATTTCGGCTATATTAAAACTGCCTGCACATATTTTAGTTGAAAATTTAATTTTTGACTTTTGGCCCAAGATCATGGTCTTTTGGCCCACAGTGTGATATGATAATAAATTCGGATTATTTTGGAACGAATTGAAACTTGCTTTGTGGTCAAGCGTCGGGAAGTTTTTATATCCTTAGCACTTTAATCAATAAGAAAGAATTAGGAAATTTAACAGACAATGCGTTTTCCTTGCAAAACAAATTCTGCTTGAAGCGATGGTGAAATGATTGCAAATATTACTGTAATCCAGCATGGAGTTATAGTTAGAGCATGAGTGTTATAGCCTGTCTTAAAGTGTTCGAAAAAATTTTATTGACGAAAAAAATAATCTCTTTGACAATAATATTAGGATTTGTTCTGATGGTAGCAGCCTGGAAATGATCGAAGAAAATTTTGACATAGGACATGGAGCTTTAGTACTCTTTTGAGTGTTCTAGCTAGTCGGAAAGTAAGCTAAGTTCTGACTGCAAGATTCCATTAACGCAAATATTTTTTATTAAGATCACCTCGCAAAAGATATTGAGTCAACAAAATCTTAATAGAATGGAAATATTATTTAGATTAAGATAAAAATATTTAAGTGATGGAATATATGTCAACGAAAATAATAATAAAAAAAAAACTGTTCTCAATCTAATTTTTTGTAAAGTAATCAACAATTAACTCTTTTAATTACCTTACCGGGTAGATTCACGTGATAAGACGTATTTTCGGGAGCACTCATTTGTATAAAA